TGTGGGGGATAGAGAATGTTTAATAATCGTCCAGAAAGGGACTGAAGCTTAATGCACTTCCAGGTGTGAAGAAAAGGTCAGCTAGGAAGGACCGTGCGGTTCATGTCAGCTGCTTTCCTTACCTTGTGCTGTGTGGCTGGTTGCTTTGCAAGGATGGATGCTCCGTTCTCAGAATCTAACTTTCTCAGTGGATCAAGAGCAGTGTGCGTTCGTTCGTTCTTTCAGGCTGTGTTTGCAAACAGACAATGCCTGTGTCTCTGCTGTTTTGAAGGTTCTTTGGTGCTTGTGCAAGAGTTCTTTTCTGCCCTGCAGCTTGGCAGCTGAGGAGATGTCCCCCGAAGAGTCAGCCCTGTCAGTCTCCCCTCCCCTTCCCCTCCCTTATTCTCTTTTGGCTCTGCTCAGCCATTCAAAAGGCTGGCATTGACCAGGGAGACAAAGGGCTCTTTCAGACCCTGAGCTTTTGTTAATACTCCCAGTTTCTCTACCCTGCTCCCTACTCTGATTGTTAATACTCTCGTTGAGGCATTTTTTGGAATGAATGTTGCATAGATGTAGTAGTCATGGAGGGGGGGTATATTCCATTCATATTCCTGTGTAGTTTTGAAAAGGAAAGGCTGTTTCTGCATAGATACTTGGGTGATTCTGAAGGATGCTGAATCGTTTTAAGGTGGCAAGGGGCTGATTTTCCAGAACTGGTGGCCTTACAGTCCCCTTCCAACTCTACTGTTGTGGGATTGTACAATCTTGTTGGGAAATACGCCTGCTGTGGGCTTGGAAACCATGATCCGTCTTTGCAGAGATTGTCATCTTACCACATCCTGGGGTCTCAAATTGATTACCACTGATTAAACATTTTTATCTCAACAAGCTGCTCTGCCAGGCAGCCCTCCAGAAACGCCTGCTCCCTCCGGATGTGTTGGAGTACAACTCCCATCAGCCAGAGTGGCTAATGGGTACTGTTTTGACTAGGGATGAAGAGAACTGGAGCCCCATCTATCTGGGAGGTTGCCAGATTGGGGAAGATGGTCCTGGTAGCTCATTTTGCGATGCCTGCTCCTCATGGAATATTGTCCTTCCCAGCTGGAGCTAGTGCTTCTGCAACCAGCATCCTGGCGACATGGTGCTTCTTCAGGTGACCATCTTGCTTGTGTGGTTGATCTCACAGTCCAGTCGATGTTGATGCGCGTGTGCTTGGTTGGCCTTCCCCACACTTCCCTTTCTCCCTTGCATTCCAAGCGGCTGTTTCTGGTGAGCGAGCAAGTATGGAATAATGCAGGAACAGTGATATTGGCACAACTCACCTGCCGATTTATGAATCGCTGGTGCACCTAATTAATCAACAGAAACTGGATGCAGTTCACGTTTTTATGATGGTCAGGTATTTGGAGATTAGGGATGGTCACTCTGAGGACAAATGCCCAGTTTCCATGAGCTGCTGCTTCTGCAGGGTTTTCTGTGGGATGGAAGTGGACAATCTTGTGCCCCATCTCAGACTGGGTGGTAGAGACGATGGTCTTCCAGGCCCTTCAGGAGAGGGAATGTACATCCCTGAATTGAACACGACGCGTCTGATGCAACAAACCCAGCTACATGTCTGGCTGCTTCCGGTGACACCACTGGAAGCTGCTTTTCCCAGGTGTGAGAAGCAGTATCTGGTGGGATGCAGGAGAGCCTCTCTTTGAAATAGTGAGCTTTGCAACGTCCACGCGTGGGGTTGATCCGCACTGCCCTGCTGGAAATTTGTGCATCACATCAAATACAAAGGTGAATTTTCCCCTGCTATTTTTGTTCCTATTCTCTCACCCCACCGTCAGCCGGTTATGAGGCGGGAGCAAAATAAGCAGGGAGCATTCAGGTGCTCAGAGCCAGGACGGAGCACCAGTCCCCAGGCTGGGCGAAGCGGCAGCGCACGGAGCTGCTTGTTCTGGCTGAGCACATGCGGCTAAATGGGCCGCTGTTTTTGCCGGACACGGTGGTTCGTATGTTTGCGGAGGACTCTTCCGGGGCAGTGCGAGGCACATGGGCTAATCGAAGCAGCAGGCAGGAACACGGCTTGCCGCTCCACGTGCGGCGGCATCCCACTGCCGGGAGCCGGCCAGCAAAACCTTGTCCTGCAGAAGGACAGGCGGCTGCACGGGCACTGCTGAAGCCTGGGGTGTTTGCAGAAAGGGATCGGGAATGGGTGGCTGCTGGCGTGCAGCCCTGACGCGGCCCCCTGGGGGTCCCCATCCAAGCTGCCAGCTCCTCTGCCTTCCCTCCATTGCTAGGAAGGCAGGTTCCCAGCTCTTGGACTATGCCACGTTCGGGCTTTTTCAAAGCCTGCATTGGTTCGAAGCCCAGCTGCGGCAGCGGGCTGGGAAAGCACAGCCGGGGACAAGAAGGGCCAACTCTCCGCACAATCACAAACCTCCCTTGAGAAATCGCCCCGTCCCTGTGCTGCTGTCAGGCCTTTAGGAAGCCCCCTTTGGCTTCACCCCAATGACAGGCGCATTTCCTGAAAGAATTTCCTAGGGCTAAAACGTCTGCATTTAAGAACATTAAATCCATCCCTTCATTTGTGAGTGTGCTGTTTAAACCACGTGCCTTGGAGGTAACAAGATGAGATGTTCTGATCTCGCCACAACTTCTGCACGGGACATCTCTGATCTTCGTTTGTTTGATTGGTCCCTATACAGTAGAAAACCTCCTTTCATAGTGGGCCTTGTGGACGTAACTGCACGGTGATCTACTTGGTGGTACAATGGGTGTCTGTGGCGGGGGCTGTGCCATTGGGACAGGGCTGATGCTGAACAATGGGAGCCCCTGGCCTGGGCGTCACGCTCCCCTGCCCTAGCTGAAGTCAGTGCGTGGTGAGCGCATGGCCCTCCGAGCGGCACTATGGCTGCCCCAGCTGCTGATGAAAGCTCGCATAATTTAGTTGTGCTTTAATTTGGGGGAGAACATGCAGCTGAAGTCTGTAAGCCTGAGACAAATAACGTGGGACTAAAAGAAATACACAGGCGTGGATCGGGACCGGAGTGCTTGTCAGGCACCAACTAGATGGTTGGGCGAGCGGAGCGGACCGATCCTGCACCTGCCATTCCGTCTGGCCGGCAGGAGCACGAGGCCGTTGCTGCCCCGCTGCCACACTGGCAGGGTGGAATACCTTCCCGACAGCGATCGCCATGCTGTGACCAGCTGAGCTTGCCGGCAGCAGCACCTTGCCAGCACTTGACATTTTAGTCAAGGGTTTTCTGAGAAAGTTCTTGAATACCTTGTTGCAGAATGGGTTTTAAATACTGGACAAAGAGGGCATCAGTTGGCAACCGGCACTACAGGAAATGGCAAGCGGGGAAGGCACTCAATGTGTCTCAAAGGGAAGAGAGAAGATTCTCAGCTGGCTGAAAAAGTGTTTATTATGCCCAGTGTGTGTTTGGAAGAAACTTTCCTTCTGCAGGGGTTGTAACTGAAGTATTTTAAAACATTGTTAACAGTTTAAAACATTCCTAAAATCTATGACAGGTGTATAAAAAGTTGCAATAAACATTGTATTGAAATGTATCCCCAGTGTACAACATTTGTAACTAAGAAATATTTTACTTTGGGTCCTGCTAGGTAAAAGTTCTCATTGATTGGCTTTCGCTACTGATATATGAAAACAAAAACACAATGTTAAGATAAGAAAAGCTTTCCCTTTATGTGACTTACATACCTGAAGTGAATCTGATCCAGTGGCGTGTGCTGGCTGACAAACAGTTCAGGTATCTAAAAAGATTTTCTCCTTCGTTTTGGATCCTGTAACAGAGGCGATTCTTTCAGTTCTGTCAGGTTAGGGTAACATGTTCCAAGGGGTTTCCTAGTTGCTGCTGTCTTTGGCTCACACCTGTTTCAGCAGGTAGATTGATCTTGGAGAACTCTGCTGCTCACCTTTCTGCCCATGTCTCCACCCTTTACTCTCCCTTGGCATCTGTTTTATTTGATGGTCATGAAGTTCTCGTGCTCTTTTTTCATGATGGGTCTCCCTTATCCATAGGAAGTGTGCTTCATATTTGGGTGCCTTTGCATCATATTTTGCATACGTATGCTTACAGTATGAGGAGAGCGATTGTTAACTTGAAACGGGGGGCTCTTCCTACCCTCATCCAAACTGCACCCAACCTTTTGGTTTGAGCCTTGAAACATTTGGGCTTGCTGGTTTACTTCAGTACTGCCAACTTAGTTGGTTCCAGTTTTTGGAGTTACCTTTGTGGAAAGTGTTAAAATGCTTTTAAAGGACCTAGGGAGTCCAGGCTGATGTTTGGGGTGTCCTGAGATGCCCTTTGCTATCTAGCGAGAGCCGCTGTCTATGGCGGTCTCCTAGGTGGGATCAGAAGGTAAGCAGCTGGGCAAACGCTTCCCGGGCAGGTATTTCTGTTGCCATTCCTTGTCCGCTGCCATCGCTCAGTCCTTCCCCGTGCGCCCCCCCCCCATTCTTCTGCAATGCACATTTGGTGCCCTGCCTAATATGTATTTTTGGAGCAGGCCATGGGGCCTGTGCTGCTGCTGTAATCTTAAAGGCTTGCAACTGAGTCCTCTGCCACCTGCTCAGCTCACCGGTGGCAGCCGGGCCCCTGCAACTGGCCCCTTTAAGCATTGTAGCCATACTGCAGCCGGAACCCAAGGAAAAGCGGCCTTTTAGCTGCTTGGCAGCATTGCGCAAATCGTGTTGTTGGCAGCTTGCTAAATGTATTCCAGACGACCCAGAGGAGGCACTCCCTGCTCAAAACTTAACCATGGGTTGTTTCTTTTCCTAGCTGGATTAGCTTTGATTATGATCCCAGTCAGTCTCTGTAACCTGGAAGTTGCTCTAAGGAGTGGAGAGCGGGGGATGCCGGGCAGCGGCTGGCTGAGCCATTTTTCCGTGTGGATATAAGCAAGTGTGCAGAGGAAGAGGAGAAAGCAGGAGTGGCCTGTGTGTTTATAGGAGAAAGCCGCTGCTTTGTTTTCTGACTTGCTCACTGCATGGGTGCTATTCCTTAGTATCCTGTGTCTGTATTTCAAAATATAGAAGACACGTGCTTTGCTGTGTCACTGCCTGCTTTCTGTGATGTGTCACATGATGGCCTCCCCTATTTTTAAGACGTGTGCTTGCTGGTCAGCTCAGGTTTCCGTTTCTTGGTGTTCAGAAAGCAGCTGGTTGTTCAGTCAGAAAGAGACTTGTCTACAAGGGGCTGGAGGCTGATAGGAGTCTTTCTAAATGAGCCGGAAATTGTATAGGATTGGACTGGAAAATGTGAAAATGGAAAACTCAGTCGTGATGCGTATGAGCTGAGGCTGGGATTGTATTCACCCTTCCTCACAAGTGCTGGATTTTTCAAAGCTTCCTCCTTGGGTTGTCTCGGAAGAAATGTGTGTTAGGTGAGTTTGTGGCTGCCTTGGCGTTTTCACTCTGCTTCCCTTTGCCGTTATATTCTGTGTAGGCGTCAGATGTGGGACATGTGGGGTTAATACTGTGCATTCTTTGGCAATGACAGACATCTAAATGGGGGAAGCAAAGGGGGTGGCGCTGGGACTGCTGTTCCAGCTGAGCCGGGAGGTGTCATGCACCGAAAATCGCCACGCCGCTCTCTCCCCTCCCTGCGGCAGCGTCTATCTGTGCTTGCCACGAGCAGCAGCCTGCCGTGCCCTGAATCTCCACGCAGGAGCAGTTGCCACCCGCAAGGATCCCGATCCAGGTCCTAGCGGAATTTGGGGGCGTTCCGTTAGTGCAGCCCCTTCCGACGGGTCATGGCTCGGCGATGCAGCTGACTTGTTTTGTGGGCTGCCCCATGATGCCGGATGGTTTATGCAGCTGTGTAAACAAGGCAGAGGAGACTTTGGCTTGTCATCAAGAGCTAAGGGACGTATTTTATTAATCCGAGTCAGCGCGTGGAGGTGCCAACGGGGAAGGTTTGGGCCTTTGCCAGGTAAGACTGGGCTTATGATGGAGCACATGGAAGTATGTTCCGTAGTTCGGGAATGATGAGCCTCTTACTCTGATCGGGGAAAATGCCCCAAGGTGGAAAAGAGCCGATGAGTTCTGTGTCATCTCAGCTTGGTGGCCGTGGCATGAATGCTCATGGGCGAGTGCGCTCGTTTCCCACGTGCTGCCAGTGCTTTACATGCACTGTGGTTTTTAAGTTGTCCCGATCTGGATTTCTCATGGCCCTCGTGTTGTCAATTCCCCTGCTCCCGGCTTCACCTTCCAGCCACCACATCCAGCTCCAGGATCTTGTAGGTTGAAGCTTGTGCTGCATGAAGCGGTTGCTTTTTCAGGGGCTGCAGGGTTCCTTCTGTTGCAGCTCAAGCTTGTGCATTTTAGTGAGAAAAAGCCCTGGCATGCCCAACATTCCCCAGTCAATGTGGGGAGAAATTGTAGGGCCTTCTCTGTCTGAACCAGCTTAGGTTTGAGCCATTTTTATGAGGCAGCTTAATCATGGTGAAATGCAATCACTAGGATTCTAGTCCTTGAAATCTATATTTTAAAAAGTTGGGGCGAGGGGGCCTTTGGCATCCTTTGTGGCACTGATAAATCTTCCTGTGCCATGTATTTAAAATTTAAAGGGCATATTCTAGATGGGAACTGGAACACTTGGAATTAGGGGTATAGCGTAGCTGCTCATTGGCAGCCTTTAAGCCAAACTGTGAGCCTTGTTAAGAAGTGGCTTCTAGTTCCTAGAACTGCTTTTAAGAGAACCGTAAGTAGGGGAAAGGATTAATCGTGTGCAACTGTCAGCAAGGAAGTGCTCTCTCTTTCTGCACTGTTAGTACATGCCAGGTCTCCAACAAAGCATCTAATGCCGATAAGCTCTTTTCCTGGGTGACTGGAAAGGAGGCCAGCCATTCTGCATCGAAAATAAAATGTGGCTTTCTTGGTCCTGCTAGCAGCAGCTCTCGGCAGGGATCTGTCAGTTCCGCAACTTTATTGGCTCCTGTTGCTGTACTTTGTTACACCTAACACGGGGAATTAGTTTTCTGCAACGGAGATCATTTTGGTGGAATGCTTGGATCTGCGCATCTTGGACTTTGCCTATCCTAAACCCTGGGGGTGGGGAGGGTCCACTACAAGAAAAGTGTTGCGCAGACTTGCCTTCAGCCATCTGTTCTTTTCCTTAATTTGCTGCTCTGTAGAATCCCCCGGGGACCTGTGCAGCAGCCCCTGGAGGATCGGATCTTCACGCCAACCGTCTCGGCTGTGTACAGCACTGTAAGTACGCACAGACAGTTTTGCCCATTTACTCTGCTTTTGGAGTCCTTCTGATTATTTTGAGTTGCCTGCTCTTCCTTTGGCAGCCGACCATTTGGGAATGCAGCTCAGCCTTCTCTTACCAACTGCTGTCGAGGTGTTTTGGACTACACACCCTCAGCCAGCACGCCTAATAGTAATGTTGGCCAGGGCGATGGGAATCGTAATCTAACACATCTGGGGAGCACCAGGTTGAGGAAGGCTGTGGTGGGGCTCTGGCATTTAGGGACTAAATGTTATAATTGCCTTCAGTTTAAAAATTCAGAGTTGGACTTCCTCCACAGACGGCGTACTTACTCAGAGTTCATCTTCGGAAAGTATGGCATGATTCAGGGGTGAGGATGTAGCTGAGTGAGTCAAGCGAATGCTTCACATGCTGGAGGTGCCAGGTGCAGTTCCTGGCAGCCTCTCCGGGGGAGGTCTGGGAAGGACCACTGACTGAGTCCCTGGGGAGCCATCGCTGTCAGACAGTGACGACCGTTCCGGGCTAAGGCGGATCCACGGTCTGACCTCGGGACAAGCCGCGTTGCTTTCAGGTTGCAGCTGAATTGCAGTCGAGACAACACAACTGCAGAGAGCTTTGCATCCCCTTCACACGTGACTGTGCGGGAAGCAGCTGTGTGGAAGCCGTGCCTGCACAGGACTGGGGGCAGCATTCCTTGCTGCACTTCCCGCGTGCCCCACGGGGGAGTGGATGTAGTGGTGCTCACAGCTCTGGCGGAGCGCCCTCTCACATCCCATGGTTCCATTAAATAGGAATGATGTCTCACGACAGCTGTCCTGCGACAAAATCAAAAATCTGCCCGGGGTTTTGAGTTGCGTGTTCTCTTGATGCACCTCTGGAAATCACGGCTGATGGGATCAGTTTTTCCCCTGTGTGAGGGAGAATTGTCTTTCTGTTCTATGATGGGTCTCCGGTGGATTTCTAGGAGTTTCACACCCAAGTACTGCTCTTTGCGTTCTTTTTGAAGGGATATTCTCACAGTGACGGGAATCCTCTAGAAAAGAGATTATGAGGTTTAGCTGTTCCAGCTGCTGTGCATTTACACTGGAGATGTGGGTCAGGAGGCCGATCCATCTTGTTGTGTGGCTGTTGCAGAATCTGCAAGGAAAACCGCACACTTCTTTAAGAGTTGCATCAACATCGGGGCAGAGAGGACTTCTTGCTAAGGAACAGTCCTCATTGTCCTTAACATACTTTGTTCTTAATAGATGCTCCAAACTGCATTGTGTTGCTTCGGGATTGATTGGTTTAAATTACGAAAAGAGAATGCAAGATGCATCTAAATCATTAAGACCATAACCCAGACTCTCTGACTGTCTGTGTCTATATGCAAAGATACAGAGACTGCACTCCTAGGCAGAAAACATCCAAGAACTCCCTGGATACCTGACTGGGGAATGCTGCGAGTTGTTTTGGCCTAAAAAACATAGGATTGTGTCCTGAGTAAGACAGCCAAGCTGATGGATTTTTGGTCTGACCCAACATGCCTCCTCTTGGGCTCTTACAAAGGCTGGAGCTGCATCCCCTTTCCGACTGACTCGGAAGTAACGAGCGGGACTTAGTTTTGAGGCAAGATGTCCAGGATTGGGCTCTGACAAATTTGCAGCATTTTCCAGAGCCAGGGGCATGAATTTCTTAGGGAAACAGTGGGCTCTTCTGTAAACATTTGTGCTGTTTGGCAGAAGGGTGAATATTCCTATTTGCAAATTGAACCCATTGCAGAGTTCCAACAGCCAGAGAGTATGAGACAGGAGTATAAGATCACTGGTCTGGGCCAGGATTGATCGGGATGACCGGGTGGGGGGGGGGCGGGGGGGTCCTAGAATTTAGCACCTGTGATGGCTTGCTAGTCCCTGGGTCCGGTAGGAAGCCCACCATTAATAAACAGTCCAACTAAGAACTCATATCGCTTATTTCCTTTATGCATGTTACCATATTTGTGTACCACTTCTTATTTTAAAAATCCCAAAGTGGTTCACAGCATATTGCAAAACAAAAGTATAATAGCATTTAGGTAAATTAATGATTAGGAAAAGTCAGGGTAAACAAGTAAGTTGCTTATATTTGTTGAAAGTACAAAATGCTTTGTCAAATACGGTTTTCCTCCAAATCATGAAGGTTTTCAGTTTTACAGTAAAATTACAGGTGTTTCCTCAAAATGGTTTCCACTTTTTACATGAAAAAAACATTGTTTTTTACATGGGAAAATGTCTTTTACAGTTTTTGATACATGCTTCAGTTTTAACACTGACAGTGTTTGCATTCTATTAATATTTTTAACTTGATTATTTTCAGATTCAGCCATTTAATTGACCTTTTTAAAAATTAAAAAAATACAAAAGATGATTCATTTTGTATGACCCCATGGCCCTAAACAAAATGTCCATGCCAGGAAACCACTGGTGACATTACAGTGACTTGGTTTGGTCTTTGTGGGTGTGATCTGAATATTCAGTTTATCTTAAACATTATATCTGAACATGGTTTTTGTGGCTCAGGCAGCATAAAAACTGGAGCAGTTTGAACAGGAAGCAAAACTGCAGAGAGCTCTGCCAGCTGCACTCAGATGCTGTGCTGCAGAATCGAGGATCCAGAGCATCATCTAGATGCTGTTTCCTAGCTGCACAGCACGTATAATTTCTGATCAAAGAGAGACATTAGTTTGGTGTTCGCATTTGAAGGATGTTCATTGTCAGCATCTCTCCTCAAAAGAGATCACTCAGCCTGTTTGACAGGATGTGCTAATTGCCGTGGTTTGAACTGGGAGCCACGGCTCTGCAGTTCGGATCAAGTTTCTGCTTCCTGACTTAAGCACTGGTTTTGATGGAATAAGTGTGTGTGTGAGAGAGAGAGAGGGAGAGAGAGAGAGAGAGCCTCGCAACAGCCCAGCAGGACTTCCAGGAGTTACCGACAGAAACTTTTCCTGGCCTGTCTTGTGTGGCTTCCCTGGTGGCCAGGCTTTCATGCAGTTGTCCTACGACTTCGTGAGGAGAATAAGCAGGACCACGAGAAGCAGAGTTGGTGCCAGGGTCTAAAAGTAATGGTCTCTGCAGGTTCTCGTGGTTAGCGTGTCTCTTCCTTTCTCTCCCAGGTATTGTCTGTATAGCTCCCTTGCAGCTGGGTTCTGTCTGCCCGCACGCTTGGGGCAATTGTGCGTGCAGGAAATACGAGCCACGGTTGTCTTCTGCCCCTTGCTGGGCTCCCGATTCTTCTTTCACCTCTTTGTGGTTGATTTGCTAGCCCAGGTGGCCTTGAGGGGGCGAGGGCTATTCACAGCCGTGTCAGCATGGAGAGCGGAAGCAACCTTACTGGGGAAAACATTCCACTTTGTGGTGGGACAGAGGGACCCTCCCCACTCTCTGGCCAGGACTGCCTGTAGTTTCTGTAGTGAGATATCACCTAACACAACAAAGGATTTGCACCAGGAAAGTCACCCCGGCCCACTTTGCCCTGCAAAGCTCAGAGTGCCAAAGGATCTGTGGCTTTCTCGTCACAAGGAGATCCCCGGTTTTTTTTTTTTTTCTGGCAAATTGTGTGGGATTAACTAATAGAAGCGGCATGTAGAAATCCCACAGCAGGTAGTCTGTTTCAGCTTTATATCAGAGCAGCCTCCTCTTTCGGGAAGGTGTCGGTGCAGATGGGAATCGCTGCTTGAAAGGAAGAGGTTGAGAGAGAGATTTGAAGCATATCAGTTAAGATCCTGCTTTCGCCCTGATTTAATTGGAGCATCTGATGGTGCACTCTGAACTTAATTTCTGATGTGTTCCAGCGGCTGGGGGGAGGGGGGGTACAAAGGGTAAGAGTTCTTGAATTAGGGAAATACAAGCACAATACATAATTATCTAATCAGGTGCCTTGCACGCTTTCCTGCCAATTTCAAAGATAAACTGTTAATTTACTGCAGGATTCTCAATAGGGTTTTAGGGTGCAGTACAGGAATGGAAGCATAATCTGAGCAGAACAGCCCGCTGGCTGAGTTATGGTGGCCTGGGCATTCTGGTGGGCCGCTCTTCCTCTTATGGCCTGGCTTGCAAGAGGGAGCCCTCCTTAGACTCACGGGTAGCATCCCTGCATGTGTGCCTTGCTTCAGCTCATTCTTGTCCAGGGTGAAGACTTGGCTGCTTGTGCCCAACGGGATCACAATCTGTGCCAGTCTCACAGCACGAAGCCCATGACCTTCCCTTCCCATACACTGAATTGAAGCCTGCTTTTCTATGCAAAATGGGAAACTCTATGGGAAAAACTATTTTGCTTCTGAGGTCAAGTGTGATAAATAGGATGCGAAAAGTCACATGTATTATTGCTGCAAATTATGGCATTATTGTCCAAATGCCTTGCAGAGAAAGTGCTTTGCTCAGTAATTACCACCTTTACTCCTGGGACATTCTGGGCCTCTAGCACATATCTAGCACCTACTTCTTCTCTGAATTGTGGGATTCATATTTGAACATTCTTGCTTCATAGGCTTGGCAAACGTACAGAGAGCCAAGTAGAAAAAAATAAGTAGTTTTCCCTTTGCCTCAAAAGAAATACAAGACACATAATGGCAGCATAAAGAGAGGCGCTAGCTTTGATTTGCTCGGAGGCAGTGTGAAGGTGTCCCTTACTTTCAGGCCAGTGTGTGTTAATTTGTTGACAGCAACCTGTCAGCGGAGGCTCCTCGTTCAGGAACTTTGCAGGCTTGACTTAAACAAGTGGTTTGTGATTGTGCTCTAATTTTAACTAATAAAATTTGAATTGCTTTGATTTCAAGCCAGTCCACCTAAAGCTCTTTGAACAGGCAGGGCCTAGGAAAAGTGGAGTCTTACCTCTCATATATTCCCCTCACACAAATCAAGATCACGTGGGATGAGTTGGTACCAGTTCTATTCGCATCAAGCCAACCCGCATGGAGAGGAGCTTCTCCAGGAGTGGTATCAGTTCTCTGAACTTGCTGCCAGACGTTCGCCAGGCCTGGCCCTTCTGCCGTTCAGGCAACTTGTGGCTCTCCTGATCCTTTGGCCTGTGACTTCCAGAATCCCTCACCGTTGGCAATAGTGGCCAGGGCTGATGAGAGTGCTAGGCCAGAGCGCCTGGAGGACCACCAGGGGAAAACCTTCCTTCTCTCTTGGGCACACAGTGCGTTGAATATGTAGCTTTTCAGGCTGTACTTGCTGCGCTTCTTTCATGAAGGCAGTGAATGTGATTTTTAGTATTTCTTACATGCAATGTTATTGGATTTAGCTCTTCTTTGCAAGCTACCTTGAGTGTCCTTTTGTGAGTGAAAAGTGGGATTTAAAACTAATTCCCAGATAGCTGCCTCTATTGGATATGTGAAGTAGGTTGAGGATGAGGCATGGCTATAGTCACCAGAATGGGATTGGGCTGGGGAATAAGTGGAGTTTACAACAAAAACAAAGGACGTTCGAGCAACCAGCGAGCTAAAAATCTTTTAAATCTGATATGAAATCAGGGAGAAACTGAACCTGTGTAATGGGAAAAACACCTGTAATCTTTGCTGCGATCTTGACACATGGGATCAAAATTATTAACAAACTCTGGTCTTTCCTCATGTGCTCTGTTATCATATGATTGCTTAAAGGTCAGGCAGGTCTTGACGTGAGCTGTCTATTCCCAATAAATCTGAGCGCGAGAACAGTTTTCCTACCAGATTTGTGTCTTCTAAGTGTATAAACGAACGTTCGGAGAGGCAGCTTAACTAATCTCTGATTTTACTAACAGTTTATCTCCTCACAGGTTGCACAGGTTGCAAGACAGCCAGGCCCTCCTGCCCCCTCCCCTTATTCTGCACATGAGATAGGCAAGGGACACCCAGCTCTTGCTGCCACGCCGCCAGGACATGCCTCCTCCCCGGGTCTCACCCAGGTAAGGCCGGGTGCTGGCCACCCACGTCTGCATCCGCCGGTCGGAGTGTCCTCCTCGGGCCTGATGTGACTTCCGAAAGCCTCGGGGGGGGCTGGGGTGGAGCTGGGGCCGCAGAGAATATTGGGCTGGTGCTAATGGTGGTCGTGTGCCCCTTCCTTGCACTGCTACTCTCCGGAAAGGCAAGGGTGGAGGAGGAGCAGAGGGGTGCCCTGGTCTTCCGTGTGCTGTCGGGGTGTTTCTGCATGTGGGCACAGCCTCCCCCGGGACTTGCCGCAGCACCTCGTGCACCGCATGGAGCGGTTCTTGCTGCGCGGCTGTTTGACGGGAACTCGCTGCCAGCGCAGTGAAACCAACGGTGCTGAAAGGGAAGGAACGAAGTAGTATACACGAGATTTGGCAGGACTGAAAAAATATATATTGTGTTCCTGAAGGCATAAGCTAAAAACAGTCCCCCCTGAATGTTTCCGGGAGAGGAAGAAAGCAGTGGGGAGCTGGCAGAATGAGAGTGGAAAAGGAAAGAAGGAAAGTTTCCAATTAGGAAAGGTGTGGCGGAACAGCTCGCTGGCAGTGGGTATCCAGCTCAGCGGTTGTAGAGACCTGCGGACACTTGGGGCAGCGAGCCGGTTTGCGCACAAACTCCCTTGGAAGTGTGACATTAAGGCCGTTTCCAGAAAGTGTCCAGGTGGAAGGGCACCGTCCCTGTCTTGGTTTGTAGATTCTCCTGTGCAAGACTGGAAGTGCCGATTCTGGACTGGATGGAACAGTACTTGAAATCACATTTGGAACCTATTTAATTGCTTTCATTTCCAAGACTGCTTCCAGACGGTCAGGCATGATGTGGCCCCCCAGTTCAGGTCATAGGAGGAGGAGCAGCAGCAGCAGCAGCAGCTTGTGGGTGAAGTGTGCGGTTGCGCTTGCTGTATAGAGGCAAGAGAGAGCACGCCAGTTCTGTGGGCCCCAGCCAGCGCTGTGTGTGCATCGCTCAATGGTCGCACCTTTTCTGATGGCTTTGAGTTGTGCGTTGTGTGGAAGCAGGCACGATCCCTTGCTAGTTCAGCTTTTTGCTTGCTGCCAGGTTTATTGATTTTTTTTTAAAGAACGGTTTTGTATAGTCTTGTGTCTATTGCGAGCTTAGGTGAAACAGGTGGAGGCCGCTCAGGAAGCCAAGGAGTGGCTGCTGCAGTCACTCTTGAACCTCCAGAATAGCCGCCCTGCCTGACCGCATCTCCGCAAACCGCACCCCCCACTCCCGCGGCAGTTCCTGGGGTTCCGGGAGAGATGTGCTCCTCTGATCTCGTCCTGCTCTTGGGAGAGGGAAACCGCGTCTTCCCCGTGACTGTCTCAGCTGTGTCTCGAGCACAGCAAGGCTCCTGCCGGGAGGCCGTTGCCGGATTGCGCATCTCTAGCGGCTCGACCCTTTCTCCGGATTTCTTGCTTGAACATGGGAACGGCCTGGCCTGGCCTGTCAGGACGCTGGCGCGGCTGCTGGCCAAGCAGAGTGCTGTGCTTGCAAGTTTCTTCCCGTTTCAGTTGGATTCTGAGCCGAGGCAAGTGGCGCTCTCGCCCTACGAGGGTGTGGTGCTCTTGGGCTGTTGGTAAGAGGCATGTCTTGTTAATCACTTGTACAGTGTTTTTATGGATGGATCCAGGTAATTTCGAATATCCGCCCTCCCCTTGTCGTCAGACATAAGGTAGGGGGTGCACTGCTCGTGACCTGCCATAGTGGCTGCTTGCCAAGCAGTCTGGGGGCAGGGATTAACCTGCAAGGTGTCAGCATAAATTTACTGAAGTATTTTACAGTTGATAAATGGCATAAGAATGTATAAAATCAGCGCCATGTGTGTTCAATTCCCAGGATGTTCTCACCAGTGTGATGTGTAAATGCGAGGAGCATGTCCCATCCCCCTGTCTCTGATGATCAATAGTTCTTCTCTCCCCTCTTCCCTGTCCGCTTCCATCTTCCCAGGAGGGCTGGCGTCTTGCCCGAGCACTGCAGGACCTGCCATCATGAGAGGGCCTGTGGAACGGGTTGCCGGTGCAGGCCCTCAGTGGCCCCTTTTGGGCCCCCTGCCCCCAAGCCGAAATGAGCTTCTGGGAGAGGCACTGGGCGGAGGGAGGGCGAGCGAGGATGGTCAGAGGCAGTTTTCTCCAGCAGAATGGAGTGGAGAATCAGCAGGCGCTTACCTGCTGGGCCGCGGAAGAGCAGTCCCTGTGGTCCCTTCTGCGGGTGCCACAGGATATGCCAGGCACTGAAAGACCTGTTCCCCCCCAGGCATCAGGGTTTCCCCCCCCCCCCCCCCCGGGTTTCACCTGGAGTTCCAAGCTCTGTTAAAGGACGATCCCCAGTCCTGGAGAGAAGAAAGCGTAGCGGCATCCCTGGAATGCTCGAGCTTGTTCCACACGTGGCAATAGAAGAGGGAGAAGGAAGGAAAGGCCCTGGGCCGATGCAGATGACAGGGCCACGGGGACACCGCTGCTTCTCTGCCTCTTGTTCACGGGAGAGTGAGCTGAGCTTTTACACGGACATGTGCCAGCCCCTGCCCCCCATCTCCCTCCTCCCCTCCCTCCCTCCCCCTCTCTCTCTCCCCCCTCTCACTCCCTGTCACTCTCTTTCTTTCTATCTTACCCTGTCGCTCTCTTTCACTCTCGCTCCAGCAGCCAGGAGGGAGGAGGGACAGAAGCTTTCCACCCCACCCAAGAGCCAGCAGTCTTTTTGAAGATCCAAGGGAACTGGTGCAAAGGATTCTGGGATGTGGGATGGTGAGTCACAAGAGGAAAAAGGTTAAGTGATGCCCCGCCAGAAAGGCCTGGCTCTTGTTTTCTGGTGGGTGGAGGTTTTCTTTAGGGTGGGGTCGTGGCTTTCTAGGGGAGGCCCCTCCTGCAAAGCTGCAGAAGGTCCAGTGCAGCATATGCATAGCCCAAACCTACACTGGAACCCCGCGATGTCCAGCGGACGGATCAGCACGTTGTACTCAAAAGGAGCGTTATGCCATCCTCAGGACTTGACACTTCACGGCTGTTGCTCAGCCTTAAGCAAACACCACATTCCCCGGCAGATTTTTACATTGGGCGCAGGTGCAGATGTGCGAACTGAGCCTCGGCTTCGGTTTGGTCTGTGTAAAGGCTGCCCTGGAGAGGAGGGCTGCTTCGCAGCTTCAGGCCTGGCCGCACTCCCTGGCATTGGCAGAGATCGTGCTGCCTCCTGAGCCTGCCTGGCACCTCAGACACGGCAATGGGCCTCGCGGGCCATCGTGCGAACATCACAACTCCCGTCTTTCTCCTTGGACCTTTCAGGCAAGGCCACTGCAGTGTTTCATGCGCAGAGAGGTCAGAAGCTGAATCTCATCCTTGCCATAGGATGGGGCAGTGGTGGTTCTGTTCTCGAGGCTGGCTGAGGAAGGCTGAGGGTTGTAGCCAAGCCCATCTGGAAGACTGCCCTAGAGAGTGATCAAATTTAGCGTTTCTGTCTTGAGCTTAGTAAACAAAACTAAAAAGTACCACATGTTAAGGTTTTTGTCCCAGTACACCACAAGAATCTGACCTGAAATATTTGAGGGGGTGAAGAAATGTTAATGTGGACATTTATCGGTATACTTGTAAAAATGTAAAGCCATTAACACAAACTTCTTTTACATTGTTTAAATTTAAGGAATAAAGCAAAGGTACTGAAAACTTTAGCAACCTAACAAACAGTGCATGATAGCCACTCATGTTTTTCAGTTGAGTTCAGATCTTTTCCACCGTTGGAGCACCTTCTGTTTTGCTGTCATCTCAGTGACATTTGTATTCTCTTACAAACTCATCTTTAAGGATAATCACCAGGAAAACATGAATTACAACTTGAAACTGCCACACGTGCCTAGTATGTATTTGCAGTGGGCATCCATTCATTGTTCCTCATGAACTGATGAAATGGATTTTTTCCTGCAGAAAAACAAACTGGGAAAATGTCCACCCCACATCATTGCACAGGCTTGGTAAGCGGAGAGCACCTTGCATGCGACACCCAGCAGGGCCACAGAGCAACGCAGGGGTGCCTCGCAGTCAGAGCTGGAGAGGCGGCCTCTTCCGAGGGTAGCGTGCCGGAACAGATGGATTCCTTCCTTCCTTCCTTCCTTACGGGATAAGGAGGGATTCTGTAATTGTTTTGCTTCCAAGCCGTCCCTCATGCTAGATCCTGCCTCTATAAGGCACTATGTCTTGAATCTGTATCACAGATATTGCATTATCTGATAATGCTGTCATTGGTGTGCTCTCTTCAAAACTAGCACAGAGGATGGCAACTCGAATGTGGGCTCTCAGAAACCATGTCGGCTGTTGTGCCCATAGTCTCCAAAACACTTATTTTTGTGTCCGGCACAGCAACTTAGCAATGCAATGAGAGAATAAGGGCGTTTGCTTCAAATCATATCATGGTTCAAAAGCACATCATGGCTTAGCTTTCCTGTCTCCTTAAAAGGAGGAAACCATATAGGACATTCTGTGGACGTTGCGTGCAGTGGTGTCGGCTGAGTTTGGGTGCCGTTTCTGGGAGAACTCTGGTTTGGCTTTTTCCTGAGTCATCTGCAATGTCCTTTGCTCGTTTTAGGAATGAGCTTTAAAAGGTCATTCCTAGTTCCTCCTTCTGCCGCATATTAGGCAAAATTCTTGGCAGTTGCATTCTTGTATTTGATATACGGCAAACTTACTTCACAATGTTGTGTTTCACATACCTGAAAGGTAGCATTTGTTGGTCCTAGCTCAGATTCTGCTTTTGGAATAGATGGGTACATTTTTAGAGCTAGAGAATGATTTTCCCTTTCATGAATAGCCATCGGAGCAAGAGGGCTCTCGAGCTAGAACCTTGACAAATGCGTGACTTTAAGGAGCTTGGAAGCGATAGAGGCATCTTACGGATTATGAATGCTCTTCCAGTGAACTGTTTGCCAGAGACTTTTCCGAAATCAGCACGGTTGTTTTTGCGCTCCTGGTGCTGCGCTAGCATTCGAGGGAAAGTGTGAACTGTTCAGGGAGCTGGTCACAAGCAGTTACCAACAGAATTAAGTCACCGAGCGCATCAGCCTTAAGCCTGGGCGTCCTCCCCCCGCAGGGATTTCAGGGCTGCTTTTGAACATGGCTGGGATGTTTCTGAGCTTGCTTCCCTGTGTTGGGTCACTTGTACAAGGCCCGTGTGACTTCCATGGAACTGACTTCAAAATGAGCGGTACAAGCGATCACAGAGAATGCTGCCTATGTCCCAGTGAGCCTTCGGATGCGTTGGGTGTCCGTGGGTTTTTTCACACCGATAATGCAGTGCATTGACGGTGCGGTGCCCTGCCTGGAGAATGAAAGTGCTGTGGCAGAAATAGCCACGAGTTGTTCAGAGCAGGGAACGAAAGAGTTGTGCATGACTCTGCACTTCCCAACTCTCCCCCGCCCCCCCATGACGTGATTGAGCCTGTCCCTTGTCTGTTTATTCCCAGCAGAGTTAGCACAGTGCGGGGCTTGCGGGGGGAGAGATCTGTTGCACAGCAGACCTAGTGGGTGCCAGCTAGCTTGGAAACACAGATAAAAATACTGCCTGCTTGCTTGCCTGCTTGCCTGCTTGCAGTAGCAGATTGAAGGGAGACTTGTATGGAGAGCATGTGGGTAGCTTTGCTCACATCAGGACCCACCATGGAGATTCTTGATCTGCAGGGCTGGGAAGCACAAGACCCCAAAGAGAAGCTTCCAGCCGTTGTCGGGCTCGGCAGACACCCGTGCTTCGATTCAGGCCGAGGCGGCTTCTGCGGGCCTGACTGGGAGTGGAGCGCTGCTCCACGGTTCAGCCCTGCACTGTGCGAGGCTGTGGGCTTGCCGTCTTGGTGCTTACCCAGTGTGGCAGCGGCCCCCGGCCTGCTTGGCTTTCTTTCTGCTGGCTGTTGGTGTTCTTCCTTGTTATCTGCCTTGGCCTTGAGAGCCTGGGGAGGGCAGGATAGAAGTGGAGTGAACGCCAAAAGTGGCTGGAGCAGAGATTCCTGGTCCTCGCCCTCTTTGTACTGCATGCAGCTTCTGCTCCCCGCAAACTTGGATTGGCTCCCTGGTTCACTTTACAGCTTACTTTACCACCCTGCTGGAAAAGTCAGGGGGCTTATCCCTTTGCAGGGGGACACCTTGCATGAGAGTTGGCCCCTGTTGGGGCAAGGCTGCTAATTCTCATTTGTTAATGTACTTGGAGGGAGAGGTCGGTTTCTCGAGGCCTTGCTGGGCTTGTGATGTGCTGAGAGCAACGAGAGGGGGGCATTCAGAGGTCTTCTGTTGAGATCAAACCTTGCATTGTGCTTGCCCTTGGATTGTTGAGGTAGCTTGGCCTTCTCGAGCCCTGCCAGGCCATGGCTGGCCGATCAAGCCCACCCATTCTGTGCAGCTGGCGCGCCCCTGAATCCTGCCCCTCGCTGCTCCAGGCTGCCCTGGCCGCCGCTTGGGAAGTTGGCTCTGCCAACCTTCCCGGAAGCAAGGGAAATGCATGCTTTGGGTCTTGCACCTTCAGCTGGGGTCTGCTGGGCAGCAGGCTTCCGGGCGTGCCTTAGACAGCCCTCCCTAACTTGGTACCCTTCAGGTGGCTTCGACTGCACGTCCTGGCACCCCTCAGCCAGCGTGGTGGCGGTGGGAGTTGTGGTTCTACACAGTGGAGGGTGCCGGCTTGGCGAACAGGCTTTGCACTCTCTGTAAATGTCTGGCCCTCAGAAGGCTGGATTTGATTTTGATCTCTTCTCTGCATTTTTGGGAGAAAAGAATTACTTGTTTTCGTGTATCGCTTGTGGAGGGAGTTCAGCCCTGCACGCTGGAGTCCAACGCATTCCTGTCTAGGCCTCGTGGTTTCCAGCTGAAACTCATTCGAGTCCCTCTAGCAGTTTTGTGCCAGACAACATGAGCCAGCCAAGTGCCAACTACCGCTTCCCGTGTGTTTGCCATCTAGCTACCTGTAGCTGGTGATAATTGGCATTTTAAAAAGCCAGCCCCCATTCCTTCCTCCTCCTGCATGCAGATAGTCCATGATGTTTGGAATGATAGACACGGGCTTCACCGGCTGCATCTGGCAATTGTAAACTGCTGAACAGAATAAACTTTAATGATCCACCACTTTCTAGACAAATAAGCCGATTAAAATTCTCATGTGCATTCATCTTTCTGTGCCAAGCAGAGATCAGTAAGAAATATAATTATCCTGTTCAGCTGGGGTGGAGGAGAGGCAAGACAGACATCACTGAGAACCCCGAAGGATGAGCAGTACTCAGCAATGGCTTGTCAAGGACCTGTGGGGTCTGTTGCATGTGGGGAGGTGGGCGTTAGATGGGGCAGGGAGTGGCGAGAGTCCTGAAACGATAGTGGGGTTATCGTCAGTTGCTGGAGCACCGAAACCCTTGCCAGAGGTGAGTGGAGCTCAGCACACGTGGACACCTGGCCTGAATCATTTCCGGCATACCCACAGAGACTGCTGTGTCTTCTCAGCTTGCTTTGACGTGTGCGTGTGTCACTTGGTGAATCGCAGTCGCACAGCTGAGTAAATGGCCCGTGTGAGCAACAGGCAGCCTTAGCTCCTTGGGCCTGGCATGGCCTCCTTGAGGAGGAGCTGCTCTTTGTCTGGCTGAGTTCCTGGGATGATGCCCCTTCCCCAGACGCATGCAGGAGCTTTTCAAGAGGCTTCTGTTTCTCAGCACGGCTGCCATGCACGAGTGAATTGGCTCCCAAGCGGGCTCCCCTAAAGGGCTCCCGGGCAGCCGAGTGCCCTGGGAATGGGGCTGTTTGGTCTCGTATATTCCAAGCAGGATGGAGCAGTTAGTGATTGATGGGAGAAAGCAACAGCCCGCTCCCGACCAAATAGAAGCAAGGCGTACGGGCCGCTCTCTGTCTCCTGAGCCTGCGAGTCTCTCCGTTTTATCAGCTGACACAGTTCTGTATTACAAAACAGTTAAGTCTCAGGTGAATTGTTCTGACATAGACCCCAAAAAGTTTATCCTGAGCTGACGGTTCTGTGGCTGAATATTGCGCAGTGTTGCCTGTTCTGCTGCGTGGGCCAGCTGGGCTTGTCTGTGTGTGTGACCAGCCTGTGTGGGGGAGGAGGGTCCGTGCTAGGGAAGACGCAGGACGAAGGGGAGCAAGCCGGCTTTGTGGGCGTTGGGCCCCCCAGAATGTGAGTGTGCTCCAAGGCCAGCGCTTAGCTTGCGCTCGCCGGGGGCATCTGCCTGCACGGAGCCTTGGAGGGCAAACACGGGGCTAGGTGAGCTCTGGGCCCAGTGTGGCAAAAGTTGCAATTCAGTGGTTTTGAAACATGATTCTCCTCTCAGTCTTTCCTTTCCATCCTTCTCAAGTCCAATTAAACGCTAGTTGCTGGGTCAGGGGATTTGCATCAATGACAGGGGGAGCCTAGTGGAGAGAGTGGGTGGGAAGCCAGTTTGCCATGGGCCCTGCTCCTGCCTTGCTAACGCGCTGACGGTGTTCTCTCTCTTCTGCAACAGGCCCCTTACCCCTCTGGACAGAACGCTGCACCGACCACGCTGGTCTATCCGCAGGCCCCTCAGACGATGAGCACACAGCCTCAGACGCGCTCTCCGGTAAGGGAGCCCTTCCTTGCTTGCGCTTCGTGCCCAGCAGAGCCGGTGCACCGTGCACTCCGGCCCTCCGCCGGCCGCTCACCCGAGAAGACGGTGGGTGGAGAAACCCGCTCTGCTTCCAGATGGCACTGCCAATGTAGGGCGCTGGCCTCTGGGCTCCTTGCTCGTGGCCAGGGGATCCGTTCTGGCATTACCCTGTTCAGAGAAATCTTGATAGAGAGAGAGGGCAGAGAGTGAGAAGCAGGTCCTTCCAGTGCGGTGCCTGGTCTCCAGGAGCCCATCCGTCTCAGGACTGGGCTTTCTCCAGCCACATTGCATCGATCATGCTGCATTTTAAATACGTGGAGGTCTTTTGGTGCTGAGCACTTCGTTGTCACGTTGGACTTTGCAGAAGAGTAGTGGTGTGTGCTAGCCCCCGTCCTCTGCTCTTGCGGCCACCCGTGCTCTGAGTCCCCTTCTCTGAGGCCCTTGAAGACATGTTGCTCCACACCAGCTCACGTCAGAAGTGGAAGTGAAAAAGCCGTGCCCCCCCCCGCCCCAAGAGCGTATTCCGGTGGTGGCTGTTGTGATAGATGCTTGTACCGCAATCCTAACCCTCTGTCACGTCTTTCCCTTTCGGAATTCCCTCCTTTTGTTGGGAAAGGGGAGGCTTGGTTTCTGTAGCACCCCCAGGCATTGCCCGCTCTGATCAAACGCTCCCTCAGCTCCAGGCCTTTGCTGGATTCGTAGCTAGAAAGGGGCCTCCAGCTCTTTCTCTCCTCTCCTCACCCCAACCCGAGCCCTCCGGTGGGCCAGCGATACTGACAATGAGTGCTGGAAGGGACCCTCCCCCAGCACACCCTCCGTGTTAGGATGGGGACAGAGCAAGAGCGACCTGGCCATGGCTAGGATGAGAGAAGAGCTGCCTCCAGAGCCACGTCTCTAAACCAGTTTTCTTGACAGCCCGGCAGAGCAATGCCAATACATTGCCCAGACACCTGGAAGCGGAGGAAGGTTTTGGAACAGAGTCCGGTTTACAGGTCCTTGGCCGGAAGAGGCTGGATAAAATACTGCATTGTAAGCAATATAACAAACTGTACTCCTTCTTGCAGGCAGTTGTGCCCATGGCACTGTTTCAGTTTTGTTACCGTTTTTATTCTTTTTACCACATTGTTGACTGATCTACAGAAAAGCACTAATCTCTGCTCTTGGGAAAAAAGCTGGCGCATCCTGGCGTCTGCCGCATTACGTGGTCTTGGCTGTTTGGGGTCAGGCCCTTTGGGGGAGACAGGAAGGAATGGAGGCAGGCCTGCTGCAAAAGCCCTCCAAGACCAGTGTGGAAATCTGAGATTTTTCAGTTCCGGTTTGGGGTTTGCACTCAATTGGATTTGTCACTTGAGGGAAATTGATAGAAAACTGCCAAAACGGCAGGGATGCCTTGCTATTCCTGGAGGAAATTTTGGGACTGAAGCTGTCTCTGAGCCATCAGCCATTTTTCTGTGGTCATGAACAATTTTTTTGAGGTATTACCCTGCGTGCAATCTTTGCCATCATTTGCGTTCCGTGATTGTTACCACTCCATAACTAAAAATTGCTCACATAACATTTCATCTCCCCCCCCCAACCCCCCACCGGCAAGTCCAAAACAAATGCAAACTCGGCCGACTGAAAGCAGCTCTTGCATTTTGTTCTGGGTTTGGTGTCATCGGTTTCTCTTCCCCCTCCCTTTGTGGTGCTGAGGGGAGGCTTGGTCGAGGGGGAATGAGGGGCACGGCCCCCTGAGGCACAAGAGTCCCAGCTGATACAGCTGGTGGGCCCTGATCCGTTTTTGCACTTGATAACAGACCGTAACACTGCTCCTCCCCAGGGCCGCCCCGCTTACTCCATTCTATTTCTGCATTCAGGGGCCATTGGCAATTGCTCAGCCTCGGCCTGCTCAGCCTCCTTTGCAGCCCAGCGGTCTTCTTGTGATTTCCAGACACATTTTTAAGAAAAAAAAAAACTGACCCAGGGTTGATGCCCTGACTTGGACATCTGATTCAGTTTGCACCCTTCCTCCATTTTAAATCCCAACGGACTTTGTTTAAAGCAACCCGGCGAGCATGTAGTAAAACTGCTCGAGTGGGGCAAGGAACGCGCTGGCAGGTTCTCTTAAATGGCAAAGGCGCGTGTGTCCTCACTCCATCCTTAACCTGAAGCACAAAAGGCCTTGCCAATCATGAAGGGAAGGATTTGGGAACAAGAGCAGCGTCCAGCAGGCACCAATTGGAACTCGGGCTCTCTTCCTTGACCTCTTAAAAGAAAAAAAGAAATTATTTTTAATTTGGGCCAGCAGTGACTACAGTTTGTTCTGTTGCTTACAGTTACTAATCAAAAAGAGAGAAATGTTTTCAGGAGGAATCACGCAGCCAATAGCCAATGGTGACAAGTGCAAAATAGATTAGGGTACTTTTTCACTAACGTTGAAGTTTTGTTTATCTTCATTTAACTTTATTGACTACTGAGGCCTGTTTTCCCCTAATTTTATTAAGTTGCAAATATCTAGCTCCTATTTCTCAGCTCTTAGAAATTAGACTTCCTGTGGAACAGTGATAAGACAGGCGCTTCTGCTGTTTGGCTAATGGACACAGATTGTCTTGTAATGCTGTTTTTCTCTGCGGTCTGTTGGTGTGCTTTTTCTAGTTTTCTTGGCAGGTTTAGGGCTTTTATCCCTTCCCCAAAGCTAAGAGGCTTATCAGGTTAGACATATACTTCTCCCTTTCACCTGAGAGGCAGAGAAATAGCCACACCTTGTTTCTGTGCCAAAGAAGACTTGAGAAATAGTAGCCATGCCCTTGCTCTTAATCTCTGCATTCCTTCCTGGGAGAAGGGTCTGTAGAATTGCAGGGCTGAGAAGCAGCTCAGAAACGGTTTGTTTAGCCTTGTCAGATTCTTTGGGAAATTTTCCTAAATCTTTGAGGTGGACCACGGAGCCTTCAATAGGGAAATGGAATTTCCGCACTTGAGGAAGAAGGAAACAAGGGCCGTTTCGTGGGGATTGGAGACCACCATCTGTTCTGTAGGCCTGTAAACTAGAGAGTCTGCCTGGCAAAGCCTCTTTTTCTGTTTCTGGACGTTTCCTCTGGAGGCAAAAAAAAGTGACATAAGTGCCACTCAGTAAGGGCAGCAAGCATGTTGACTTCGCGTGCCTCTGGAAGACGGTGGCAGTAGGTCTGAAGGCAGTCCTAGTTACCTCGCTGTCCACCGACACCCCGTTTGCTCATTTTTGTACACTGACTCTACTCCCCGTTGCTTTCTTGTTCATAGCAGATGTTTGCAACTGCACAGAGCACAGTTACTGTGGTCCCCCCTTGCATGCGTTTGGGAGGAGGCCGGGAGCGAGCGGGCATAAGCAGGCCGTGCGTTGTTCCCACCCTTTACCTGCCCCATGCTCAGCTGCTCTGACTGTGCCGCAGGTTGGCATCTTTTCTTCTCCCCCATGTTTGGTCATTTCCCCCTCTGGAGGCTCCAGCAGTTGTGCCGGGGGGCGGGGGGGGGGGCTTTGAACTGAGAGAGAGCTCCGTGGCCAAGGTGGTGGCCATCCCAGGCCCCCGTGGTTTGCCTTCTGCACGTGGGCGTGCTTCCTGCAGACAGGGGCAGCCATCACGCACAGTCCCATCTTTTCCGGGCACGTCAGGCAAGGCTGATCCAACTTCCCTTCTTTTGCACGTGGCCTGCCAGTCAGTAGCCGGCTGGCCTCTCTCCCCTGCCCCTCCCCATGCGGGCTAATGACAAGTCCTTTCAGGGAGCCCCCCCCCCCAATTTCCTGAAAGCGCACTTTCCTCGCAGCAGTGTTGATCGGTGGGGTCTCGGGACCTGTCTGTCACTGTCCTGCAGCAGAGCATCGGCTGTGCAGTGTTCTCGTGGCCATTCCCCCCCCCCCTTGTGGGTTTATTTTGCATACAGTGTGACAGTTTTGCCTTCTGTTGTGGTGTTTCTGACTCTCTGTGCCTTTCCTTTTTGTGTTTTTGTTTCTCCCGCTTCTCCTTAGTTTGCAGCGGGGCCTCGACCTGCCCATCATCAGGTAAAGTATCCTTCTTGCCCCCTCATTCTCACCTCTCCTTCTGTTGCTCATCGGCTGGGGAAGCGGGGGGGGGGGTTGGCTGGCTGCCCTCTGCTGAGCCGAAGGGCTGCTGTTCGGACTGCTGAGCAGGCAGCCCGCGCCCAGGAGGCGGTGAGGCTTCAGCTTCTAACAGCTACTAATGTTGTTGCCTTTACTAATGACCCCACTAACAGTGCTCCAGGCTTACCCTGCCACACAGCTTTCCGACTGTTGGTTGTCTTGGGATCGTTGGTGTTTCCTAGAACTTCCTTGGCTGGAGGAGGTGGAGGGCTGTGCTCACATTGGCCGCCAGATGCTCCTGGGCACCTGGGAACATGGTCCTGCTCCTAAAGCCAGCTGCTGTTTTGCCAGCACTCCTGTACTTGGCATGCCGAGGGCTGCTCTTTCCCCAGCGACATCACGCCTCTGATGTAGGGTGTGCTTGAAGGGCCCCTTGGTTTGCTTACCGAGGAGAGCGGTGTGCAGAATTGGATTCTTGCATATGGAAGAGCTGGCTCAGCACGCCTGTGGTTTGAAGTCCAGGGCAACGCTTGGGAAGGGGTTGGTGCCTCTGTGTGGAGCCCCAGCGGATGGGCGGGCCTTCCTTAGTGGGCACTCAGGACTACCCCCTCGCCCGCTCCAGAAACCCTCGCCCTGCGATGCCCTTTCCCTCATCCCTCTGCAAGAATGGGGTGCCGGTGCATGGGGACCTGTCCTGCTGCTTTCCCAGCCTGTTGCTCCTCGGATGTCTCGAATTGCAGCCCTTGCTGTGCCTGGCCAGCCTGGCGGGCTGAGGAAGGCCGCCGTAGCGCAAGGGATGCCCTGGGCTTGTTTGGTCACATGGCGGGGTGGGGTGGGGTGGGGGGCAGCGTTCTTCCTCATCTTGCCTCGAAACCTAGGGAATGGGAGACCCCTTAAGTGCAGGGCTTGCTTGTTCTGTAATGCTCGTGCGTATCTTTCATTTGCCTGTTGCCCCCGTGCCACAGATCCCCAGGGAGGGACCGGCGGAGCAACTGCTGAGTCAATTGTGTAGAGAGATTGGGTGGGTGCAGTTCCTGGTCAGAGTGTGCTAGTGTTTTGGCCCCTTCAGTTTCCGTTGCTCGAAATGCCACAGCTTGTGCATGTGTGTGTGAGAGAGAGAGATGTGAAGGGTTCATGCGCTTGGTGGTGGAGAGTTAGCTGTGCTGACACCCAAGGGACTGATTGGCACATGCGGTGATGCAGGTGTGTTTCAAATGCTTAATTATGCTCCTGCTTTCGATCCCTTTCTGTCCGAGGGCTTGACAAGATTGCGTTTGGTGATGGCTTTGGAACTTGTATCTTGCCTCCAATGTGTAGGGCATGCAGTGGAATGCAAGCCTTTCTCAAAACAGCTAGGGTGGTCTTCACCCAAAATGGTGCTCCAGTGTTTGTGTTGCTGAGTGTTGGCTGAGTGTTGTCTTCTGGCGGTTTGTGGGAAACGTGAAGGCCAAGGGGTAAGGCACAGCCCCTGGGAGTCCACTGCAGATCCTGCACTTGGTGCCACTGCATCCCATGCCCAGGCTACAAACCTCGGGGGGCTCTGCGGGTACCATGTGGTACATTCTTAGGTGCTGTTTCCTCTAATTGTCCTGTTGTTAGGTGTTCAGGTTAGCATGATTCATGTGCTCTTAAGGGTAGAGACGACCTCTGCCCGGCGACCACGAGGCACTGTTGGGCTCATTCAGTGGTCTAAGTACGCCTTGAAGGCGGCGGGGGGGGGGGTGTCACTGCGCTTCTTTGGGGGGAGTTTGGCCCCAGCACTCCCCAGTGGTCCTGCTTTGGCTCCGGTGTCCCGCCTTTGATGGCGTCTGCTGCGACTTTTGCCCTGAGCCAGTTTCATCCTTAAATCTCCCCAGTTCAATTAGTGTTAAGTGTTTGCACGTTGATGTGCAACACGAAGCTGTTAGGGAACGACTGTCAGCTCCCCCACAGGGAGGAGCAGCGAGGGCTGTCGAGAGGAGGAGGGAGGGAAGGTGTGAAGCGCTGTGTTTCATCGGAGTGGTGCTTCCCCATCAGCCGGGAACGGTTGAAGCAGCTACCTTTTCGACAGACATTGACTCCTGCAGAACCGGGAGACCTCTTCCAGCAGCCCTCAGAATGTTCCGAATGCTTGAGCTGCAGCTGAGCAGATGCAGTGGGTCCTGCTGAGCCTCTTTATTGTGCGGTCTGCTGTGGGAGAATTCTTCCGCCCCTCTAGCAGGTGATACCCCCTGAAGCCATGGCAGTGCCTTTTCCTGGGGGACAGCGAGGAGCCCGGCTGCGCCAGTGAGCAGGGCAGCTCTGCCCTCCCAACCAGACCCTGGATGCTTACGGGGCAAATGCGGGAAAGTTCAGCTTCCTCCAGAGGCAACTGCTTTCGCTGGTTCCTTAGGAAAACCTCATGGTCTTTCCAGGGGGTGAGATGCCCACGAGGGATTGCCTCAGTGGACAAGGCCTGAATCCACCATGGCGATGAGATGAAGGGTTGGAAAGCTCGCTTTCGAGAGTAGTCAGTTCTTTCACTGGCATCAAGATGTTTGGAGCACCTCCTAGACAGAAGTCTTGGTCAGGACAAAGGATGAGGGAGCCTCTTCCCTGTGTCAAAGCCCTGACTGTTAACTCTCCTTTCAGACTGTTGAAGTGATCTGTAAACCCAAAGGGAACAAGGGTTCAGGGTATAGACAAAACTGCTCCAGCCTTTCCCTCCGTGAGGCTTCTCCACCTCCTCTCTTGCCACTATTCGAGTCAGTGACCTCTTGGAGCTGGGCATGGTCGCCCATTGTTTTGTGCCAGGCTTAGCCTGGAGTGCAGGGAATTCCCTCTTCAGGGTGCTGTATTGGGAGGAGGTCTCACCTGCGCTGTAGGAGACTGCAGCCTGGCTTGCTTGAGCAGGACTTGGCATGTCAGAACGCTCATTCTCAAACAGCCGGCCCTGATTCCTATCCCTCTTACTCGCATCGCTCCCTGTGTATCCTCCGCTAGTGCCCTTCTCTGGAAGGATGGATCGTCTCAGCCGTCGTGTTCAGCTTCTCTCTGGCTCGCTTCTTGCCCCCTTCCCTTCAGATCCCGAGGTGATTCACCAAGGGGGACCCGCGACAGGGGGCGTGCGGGCTGGCCCCAGCTCCATGCCTTGTTGCTGTGCATCCGCCACGATTTGATCCACGAGGAATTGGACAAAGCCTTTCAAATACCATCATAATGGTGATGACGCAGAAAGAAATGGCCGTTGTTTCTGCAACTGGGCTCTCCATGGCCTGCTGTGCTCACAGTTGTCTCGTCTACTAGCCTAACTTTCTTTGAATCATAGGATAATATAGTTGGAAAGGGCCCGCGAGGCCATTGGGTCCAGCCACCTGCGCAGTGCAGGACTCCAGGGTCAGGCATCCCCAACAGACGGCTGTCCAGCTGCATCGTGAATGCCTTCATGGTGGGAGAGCCCACAAACTCCCCGGGGCCTTTACTTCATTGCTGTGTTTCTCTAACTCTCGGGAACTTTTTCCTGTTGCCCTTCCAGAATCTGCTTCCTATAAACTGAGCCCATTCTTCCATGTCCTGTACTCCGGAAGGATCGAGGAGAACTGTCCTCTGGAAGACATTTTTTAAGTACTTGCCCAGAGTGCTATCATACCTCCTTTTACTCTTCCCTGCCGAAGGCTAAACATGCCCCGTTCACTCAGTTCCTCTCCCTGGGCTTTCCGTCTGTGCCCAGGGCATCCTTGTTGCTCTCTTCTGAGCTTTTTCCAGTTTACCTGCATCTTTCTTCTCCTGTGGTGTCCTGAGCTTGATGCAGGACTCAAGAGGAGGCCTAACCAGTGCTGTGCAGCTGGGGACCAGTACGTCACATGATTTGGAGCTGTGACCGATGTCAGTGCAGCCCAAAAGAGCAGTTGCTTTCCTAAAATCCAGGGGACACTTTTGGCTCCCTTTGGCTTTGGCTTCTTTGAGAGTCAAGAATTCACGTATGACACGGTCATTTCCCCCCGAGTTCTCGTAACAGCCACTAGATCATTCCTGTTGGTTAAAAGTCAAGGATAGCTGATCCTCTCGATCCTTCCTTTAGTTTCTGAGGAAGAAGTTACCAGTCGCACAGGCCAGGTATTCCTTGAAGGTGTCGTGTTTGACAGGATTTGTCTCCCAACAGATAGTCAGGAAAATGGAAGTCGCCTGTTAATACTTATTTACACTACAATATTGTATTGTGCCTTTTTGAAACCTTGGCAGTATGCTTTCCAGAAGCTTCATCCTTATCTTCTCCTTGACTGGATGGGAGAAGATGGGAGACGCCTGCCGCCGTGGTCCTTTTATTCCTCGCTACTCTGATTGCAATCCAGATGCTCTTGATAGTACTATTCATCTCATCCTCCTGTATTTCTGTGCAGAGATATGTATCTTTAATATATAGCATTACTTTGCCCCCCTTTCTGTTCCTTCTATTTTTCTTGAACAAGTTATATCTTTCAGTTACTGAATTCTAGTCATGGGAGTCATTTCCCGAAGTTTCAGTCATACCTTTCAAGTTATGTTCACCCTCCGTCTATTAAGATTCCACGTTTCTGCGGTTAGTTCTCCATATTCTGGACATTACTACTTAAACATGGGAGACTACGTGCCTTATTCAGCTGCTCAGCCGTCGGTTAGGGATACGTTAACTTGGGAGTCCTGCACTGAGCTGACCTTTCCGGCCTCTCCTGGCCCTGCTGCTTTCTGCTGCTGTTCCTTGCAGGTGCCTCCACGAGAGAGTCTTTCCTGCTTATCCCACTTGCCTTGCAATTTTGCCTCACTGCTTGTATTGGAATGGCCTGCGCTTTGCCTTGGCTTCCCTGAAGATCGACAGCAGCATCCTACTAGGTTACAAGGAGGAAAAGAATGGCTAGGGGCCTCCTCCTTCAGCCCCCTCCCCTGTTGGCGCTCCCTCTTTAGTCCCTCTGCTGGCTGGCTGGCTGGCTTGCTTGCTTGCTTGCTTGCTGGGGGCTTGGTTGCCTCCACAGCTCCTGTCCTGGCTGGGGCAGCTGCTCTGCCCTGCTCTGCTCTGCTCAGCTAGGAGCCAAGAAGCAGCGTTGTGATGGCGTGTTGAGGTGTTTGCAGCTGGGATTAGTCCAAGGGCGGTGGCTCGATGGTGGAGCGCCTCTTTGGCCCTTGGAAGGTGCCGGGGGCACCCGCAGCCTCTCCAGGTGGGGCTAAGAAAGAATCCTGTCCGGAACCCTGGAGAGACACTGCTCTCCTTCCGTCTAGACTGGCAGCCGCCAGCTACTGGCAAGCCTGTCCTTTTGGTGATCAATATGGCTATCACTGTCAGTCGATTGCTTTGGAGGATCCGCTTCTGGGGCTCTGGCCCATCTCTACTTCTGTTCTACACCTGCCCTACCTGGAATTTCACTTGTGTGTACTTCAGCTCCTCAGAGACCTGTGCCCATGGCGGCCCCCCAGCTCCAACCTCTTTCTTGTGGTTCCCTGGCATTTGGGCAAATGTTTTCCTCACTGTAAAGGCTTAGCTATAGGCAGCCAGCACTTTAAGTTAAATTATGCAGGTCTTTTTGGGATTTTGACCTCACCCCCCCTGCCTTTTGCATTCAACCCCACACACCCCAAAGCTTCTCTGAAAGGGACTCTAAGCTGAAACAAGTCTCGTACTGGGGGATGGACCCGAGGAAGGATAGAACAGTTAGCCAGGACAAGAAATGTTTCTCATGGTCATTTCTGCTGAGACTTACACAGTTGTTGTTGTTGTTGTTTAAACAAAATAACACTTGATTCTCGGAGAAAAGGCAATTTAAGAAAGCACTGGCTTGTTGCCTGGTGGTGACTCAGGCCAAAGGAAGAGTCCTTTGTACCAACTCAAGGGCAGCCAACTAGAAAAGGAGCTGGCTGGAGGGGTCTTAGGTTGCATGCTGGATCCCGTCCCCTTCGTGGTTGACCTGTCAGCTGTTCCATTGGCTTTCTTTCTATTTCCTGCTGCTTTCTTGCTTCGTTGTTGAAGGGAGGATTCAGACCCATCCAGGTAATGTTGACTACTGGTTCTGCATGGCCTGACTGTCTCTTGATCTCACCCCATTAATGACCGGGTTTGTTCATGCCTGACGCACCATCTTGCACACTGAAGTTGAGGTTGAGGGCCTTCATGACTGGGGATGCTGCCCCCCAACCCTGGAGCTCCCTGGCCACCAGGACTTGAAGAGCAATAATTGAGATCCAGAAAGGGGTTGCCACCGTTTTAAACTGCAAAGAGAATGAACACGCTTACTTGCAGTGAAAAAAGATAGACGAAGGTAAGTGTGGAGATGGCCCAAATTGCATCCCGCTTCGAAACTTTAGTGCAGCCATTCAGTGACTTGGCAACCCCTCGATCAAACTGGCCTCCTTCAAACTGGCAGCCCACTTAAAGAAAGACATCTCTCACCCATCGCTTATGTTCAGAGCAGGACCCTCCTAGGCACAGAGAGCTAGCGCAGAGACCCACTTTTCATGCCCTCCATATCGCTCCGGGGTGCTGGGCCTTGCGAGTCAGACGACTGATCGAAAGCGGGCTGCCCAGGTGTGGATGGGGTGCATGGTGCGCCCCTCTAAGCCAGAAGGACCGCCACCACTGCCGCCGCTGCGACCTCCTGCTCCTGCAGGAAACGGCTGGCTGAACCATCGGGCTCTCCGCTTCCCTCCCCCAGTTTTTTCAGAGGCCTCAGATCCAGCCTCCAAGAGCAACAATCCAGAACAGCAGCCCTTCCATCCGCCCTGGCGCACAGACGCCCACGGCCGTCTACCAAGCCAATCCGCACATCATGATGGTGAACCACCTTCCTATGCCGTATCCGATGCCTCAGGGGCCCCAGTACTGTATACCGCAGGTAACGTCGCAGCACCCCCTTCCAGAAGGGTTCTTTCGGGGCGTCAGCATCAGAGGGTGCGGGAGAAGAGGAGGCGGGAGAGGGCTTGGAGGAAAGCGGGGGGCCCGGCTGCTTTTCAGCTGGACTGGTGATGGAGAGGGAGACACATCCACAGGTGCCTGCAAGCTGTCGCCACAGCGTGCCCTCTTGCGACTCTGTCGAACAGCCACAAATGGCCATAAATGCCCAGCGCCCGCACACTCTTGGTCTTTTCTCGAGACTCTAGAAAGGGAGTTTTAACTCCTGGCTCAACAAGGGAGAGGATCGGGTTGGGAGCAGCTCCGAGGCGGCTGTGCGGCCTCAGCTCCCAGCATGTGCGGCGTGTTTGTCTTTCATCGATGACTTCTGACTCAGTCCTTCCTCCGAGGGGCCCAGGATGGTCTCCCGCTCCTTCTTTGCATCATCCTCACAGCAGCTGTGTGGGGAGGGGGACTGAGCAGGTTGCCAGCCCGTGATTTTGGCTGCCTGTCAGCTTTCCCTCCCTGCTGCCTTCAGGGTGGGGAGCGTTGTGGAACCGCACCCAGGGTGCCCTCGCCCCGCGGGCAGTGGGGTCGCAGGCCGGCTGCCTCTGTCCGTGTTTGGCTGTGCTTTGGCCACGGCAAGTGGCAGAGCCCCACTGCCCGCCCTTTTCTGCTCAGCCTTCATCTCCCAGGCGAAGTGCCAGGTGTGCCCTTCAGAGGGTGGAGAGGACTGTGACTCGGAACCAGTTTCCCCGCTAGCCAGGGACGTTGGCGCTTCCCCCGCCCACCTGCCCACCACGCTCCCTCAACCCCCTGTCCTGTTTCTCCCGCAGTATCGCCACAGCGGCCCTCCTTACGTTGGGCCCCCACAACAGTACCCTGTCCAGCCGCCAGGGCCGGGCCCGTTCTACCCGGGGCCGGGGCCGGGAGAATTCCCCAATGCCTACGGTAAGACGGGGTTGGGCCGCGGTGGGTGGGCAGCGGGGGGAGGGGCCACTGGGCGAAAGCCCCCTGCCCCGCAGGCGGGCCTCTTCCCTGCCTGGGCCCACGGTGGGCTTCCTGGATCCATCTCCCTTGCTTTCATACTCTGACTCTGGTCATTGGGCAGTGCAGAAGCACGAATGAGGACCCCCGCCGGGGCCTTACCTGAAAACGAACGGCTCCCAGAGCGTGGGAATCCCGGGGCCCGTGCATCGAGCAGCTGCTCACAGCTTGTTCGGAGCGGTTTGCCCTGCCCCGTCCGTTGCTCCTCGTGAGCGCCACGGAGAGCGGGCAGAGACGTCTCCCAGGGCACCGCGGTCCTGGCCACCCCTGCGAGGAATTTGCTCTCCCTCCTCTTGGAGGCCCTGCCAGTGGGGTGGGGAGATGGGTGGGTGCCGGGTGGGGTGGGGTGGCACACCTGGCGTGTGTCCCTCACTGCAGCCGACGAGCCCGCGGGTTTCCTCCCCCACAGGAGCACCGTTCTATCCCAGCCAGCCGGTGTACCAGTCAGCGCCCCTCATAGTGCCTACGCAGCAGCAGCAGCCCCTCCCGCCAGCCAAGCGTGAGAAGAAGACGGTGAGGAGCCAAGTGGGGCTGTGCCGGCGTCGGAAGGGAGGCCAAGCGCGGGGAGGCCGCCTGCCGGAGGCTGTGCTCTGGCTGCTCTCGAGCAGCCCCCATTCAGCGGGATGCGAAGCGGCGGTGTGGAAATCCTCTCGGGCTGAGGGCGAATTGCGTCCTGGAGGCGCTCTGGGGCCTCCTCCCACTCGTGGGCCGGGCAGGCCAGAGGCCCCAGGGGGTGGGGAGAAGAGTGCAGAGCATACCTGGGCGCTGCAGCTTGCCACTCTCCCAATCGGCCTGAAGGGAAGGGGAGTGGGGAGGGACTGCGCAGAGCCCAGAAAATCACCCTGCAGTTGGCAGCTGGGGCAGAGGAGGTGAGGCCCTTGGGGGCTCCAGGAGGCTGCAGTGGGAGCCCAGGCCGAGGCTGCCCACCCTGGGGGGAAAGCAGCACCGCACAGATGCTCGGAGGCACCTTGGGCAGGATCCTGCCAATGTTTTCAAAAGAACAGGGCGCTCCTCTTGTACGAGGAGCGCAGGGTACTCAGGTGGTACCTTGCCGTGGCCAGAAGAGAGAGGTGGGAGAGGCTGCCAGCCAGATCCTCTTGGAGCCGTGTGGGACTAGCAGCTGCTTGAGCTCTGAGACCAGAGGGGTGCACTTGGGGCGTAAGCCGAGCGTGTCAGCCGCCCCGGGGATAATCTGAGCGGCGTGGCTCAGGCATGTTGTTCTGCTCTCTCCAGATCCGCATCCGCGATCCAAACCAAGGGGGCAAAGACATCACAGAGGAAATTATGTCTGGCGGAGGGAGCAGGAACCCCACGCCGCCCACGATCAGGCCCACCTCCACGCCCACACCTCCCCAGGTAACCGTGTGGAGGCTCTTGCTGGCGCAGATCCTCCGCTGTGGGCGCCTTGTGAATCTCTGTGCTCCGGCGGCCTCGTCCTTGTGCTTCCCCGTCTCACTCGTGGCTCGCGAATGTCGAGGCTGGCCGAGCGCCCGTCGTGGCGTTGTGGGCGACGAAGCGTGGGCCACGTTTGAGCCAGGGTGCGCGTGCTTTTTGCTGCGACGAGCTTGCGACTCGGCGCGGAGCAGGGCTGAGGAGCGGGTGGCCCGCTGGCGATGTTGCGGTGCGTCTCGCTGCCCGTGCCATCGGCTGCGTCTGGCGTGGGATGCGCTCCCCTCTCCCGTGTGGAGCTTTGGAAGAGCGTTGAGGCGGCGCTTTCCTGCTTGTCTCGGGCCCTCCACACGTTGCTGCGGACTGTGCGGCGTGTGTTGCGGCTGGCCTTTTCGTTGAGCGGGGGCCTCTTCCGTGGCTCTGGGTGGAAGCTGCGTCACGGGCCGAGCTGAGAGAGATCGTGTGCTTGATCGCACCGTTCACGGGTGTCAGGGACTCGCATGCTGCCTCGGCTTCGTGGGGAAGCGGCCCCAAAGGGGCACTGTCTGGGAGGCTGTGCCGCGCCCCCGAGGCCAGAGGCAGCGTGCCCGCGTGCAGCAGTCGTGGGGGGCATGAGCAGCGGTGGCTTCCCCCTGTGGCCCGCCATCGGCTGAGCACTGCACCAGAGAGGCCTTCGTCCTCCTGCTTGACTGAACGCTTTGAACCCGAAAGACACCTTGTGGCGGATCTTAAGTAACAAAGACGCTGTGTGTGGGGAAAAAGCGAGCCCAGCGCAGGCCTCCACACACGTGTCAGGCAAGACCACGGGGGACGTGGCGTGTCCGCAGGCTGGTGCTTCCGTCGCCATGGCAGTGGCGCCACGCAAAGCGCCCTTGGGGGTGCTGTTCGGAATTGCAGTGCCTGCACAGGATTGGCCCCTCCGGCAGCCGTCCGCCTAACCCCTGGCGATGGTGGGTCTTGCGGCAGGGCCACTGGGCAACGCTCCCCTCGTTCGTCCACTAGCTGAGTTGGTTGCTAAGGAATATGGCACAGTTCTGGCCCAGTGCATTTTTAACTACATTACTATTATCATTGTTACTGTTATTGCTATTAGCATCATTTTGGTTCCTAGAAACTTGCTTTTCCAGTGAAGTGCTTCAAAGAGCTTTCAATTAAACTCTGTTAATTTTTAAATCATTTGGTGTTGAGGTAGGCTTTTCCTGTCACTGTCCGGATATTTGAGATCTGTGGAATTGCATGGAGAGCAGATGTGTATTAAAAACTGTGCTGTTCTGTCTTTTCTAGCTGCTGTTAATAGTAATTGTCTCTCTCCCCCCGCCCCCTTCCTGCTGCTTTTTTCCTTCCTTCCCCATGTGCTTTTTTTTTTAACTGTATTTTATTTCTTCGTTTTACTTCCTTTCCTTTTGTCTTTCTTTCCAATCTGACTTTTTCCTGCCCCTACTCGCTCGCTTGTATTCCATGTTGCTAGTTTTTATGTTCGCACGCTCATTATCACCCTGTTTTGTACTTCAAATCGCAGCAGCTGTCCAGCCAGGTCCCAGAGCACAGCCCTGTCGTGTACGGGACTGTGGAAAGCTCTCCTCTCACTGCCAGCAGCCCCGTCGCTGTGACTAGTGACCAGAAGCAAGGTGGGTGGCTGGCGCTCTTGCCCCGTGCTTGAAAGGTGTCTGCCCGGTGCGCACAGAATGCTTCGCCCATGGTGTGTGCTACTGGATTCTGGGCTGTCATGGGGTACAGTGGCAGCTGCACTCACAAACCATGGTTTGTTCAACAAGTAACCCAGAAAGAGGAGCCCTGGGTGGTCGTTGGCTTGTGGACTCTGGGTACTTTAAACAGCGGGTTGTGGTTGCAGGCTGCAGAGGCGGCCGGCAAGGGCAGGAAAAGGAAACCCCAGACAGCCACTGCACGGGTCCTGCTGCAGCCACTCCTCGGCGGTTGGAACGCAGGAGGCGAGTAGGTGAAGGAGGAGTAAATGAATGGCGAAAGAGGGAGACACATACCACAGCTGGTTTTGGTCGTTTGCCTGAAAGGCCGTGAATCAGGCAACCCACCGTGGGAGAGTTAAATAATTTGGGGATTAGAGCCATGTGATCCATGCTGCTGGGTGGTGAGCTAATTTTAGAGGGTCGGCTTTAGGCCTTCCTCCGCAATAGGGGAGTGGTGAGAAGGTGACCTGGCATGCCCAGACGCTAAGTGGAGGGAAGCAGTCTGTTTGGCGCTGCCGAAAGCCACCGCCCAAGGCCACGTGCACGCACGGACGCACAGCTGCTGGAGCCAGCAGTGGCTTCCGCTCAGTGTGGCTGCGGCAGAAGTGGGCGAAGAGTGCGGCAGGCGACCTCTTGCGGAAAAGTAACGCTCCGTCTTCCGGGATACCTCAGAAGGATTGCGCTGAATCTGAAATCGGGTGACCTGCGAACGTCCCGGGTGCTGCTGCCGAAGACTCAGGGTCTCAAGAAGGACCCTTCTCCAGCTCCTTCTGCGGCACGCCGGGGGCCGGGCAGGAGCCGCCACTGGGGCTGTGCCGCTGCTGCAGCTCCGTGTTGTGGGTACTGGCCCCACTGGCCACGCAGAGCTTGGAGACCTGCGATGAGGAGGTGCTGGCGAGCACGAGCAAAGACGGGCCTTCCTTCTCTCTCTCCTCTCCTCAAGGAGAGTGGGTGAGGAGGGAGTTCCGTCAGCCCAGGCAGTGCCGCCACCGTTTTTCGCGGCAGCGGCAGATGCAGGAGGGCCTCGTGTGCCCGTGGAAGGCCACCTCTGTCCCCTGGGCTGTTTGTTGTGTACCCCAGTCCTCAGGAGACAACAAAGCTCCCCTTGCCCCTAGATCTCAGTGAGAGGAGACATTGGCGGCCCCCACCCAGCCCTCGGTGGGGGTGGGTTCAACCCTTGGAGAAGCCTGTTGGGACAGCCTGTGTTAAAGGGCTTCAGGAATTCTTTGGCAATTTGCAAATGCGTCTGGTTGGAAAATCAAGTGCCACCGCAGCAGCTTTGACAAAGAAGCCCCTGCTCTTTCCCATGCCTCTGTTAGTACTTAGAAAGAGACCTGTTTCTCTTGAGCTGCCCTTCTGAGATGGGAGTCCTCCTGGCAGCCAGGCCCATGTCCCTTGCGGGGCCTGCCTGTGCGGCATTCCAGCCAGATCACGACCTCGGAATTCCCGTGCTGGCACGGCAGAGATTTCGGGGCAGTGCCCCCTTTCGTGCTGTAGCATGCAGCTTTTTCAAACCGCACTGGCTGACAATACCCATGATCCCCAGGCAGCATCGGCATTGGCTGTGCCAGCTGAGCCTGCTCGAAGCTGTAGCCCGAGGCTCCCAGAGGGCAGCAGGTTGCCAGAGGCAACAAGAAGTCTGGTCAGCACGCCTGCCTGCCTCTGTGCCAGGGCAGGGCAGGGCAGGGCGTTGCTGCTGGTCCTTCTGCCCCGCAAGCAGCCGCCTCCCTGAGATGGGGGTCTCCTGATAAGGCAGCAGAATGCGCAGGGGGGTTGCCGACAGCGGGCTCAGGGGGCAGGGGCTGTTGCACGAGGAGCCCTGTGGGGCACGGCCGGCACTCCGGGTGTACGGGAATCGTAGTCCCAACCGCCTGGCCGTTGTCTGCTGCCGGGTTGGAGCGCACCTGGGAGGAGGTTCAGAAGAGGCAAGTGGCTTTTTTGACGCTGCTTTTTTCCTTTTCCCCAGAAGAGAAGCCTAAAGCAGACCCAGTATTAAAATCTCCTTCCCCTGCCCTCAGACCAGAGCCTAGTGGAGAGAGAAAAGATCAAATGGGCCCGACAGCGGAGACCCCCGCCACCATGGAGACCGCTCTGGAGCTTCCTCTCTCTGCTTTGTCCTCCCCTGTCGCAGCCGCCGCCGCCACCGCCGCTCCTAGTAAATCGCCGCTTGCGACAGACTCGGAGGACGGATGTGAACTCACTTCCTCGAAGCAGGACGCTGCCCCGCTGCTGAGCGCTGCGCCCTGCATGGAACGGGCCGCCTGTCCCCCGACAGAGGAGGCCACTGCCAGTATATGCAGGGAGTCCCCTGGAATGGTCCCCAATCATCTTCAAGTGACTGCTAGTACTAATCTAATTCATGAACTCAATGGAGTTGGCGAAAGGGCGACTGTTAGTGACAGCGTCGTGGACCCGGATCAAGAGGAGGTGCTCGTGCCGCTGGCCGTGGAGCCAGAGAGCCTGGAAGCCGCTCCGGCCGAAGCGGAGAGCACACTGCCTTCGGCGCCTGCCGCTCTTCCCGCGGCTCTGTCCCCCCCTCCGTCTCCCCCTCCGGCACCTCCCAGTCCTCCCCTTCCTGTCGCCGCCGCCGCCGCTGCTGTTACCACTACCAGCCCCCTTCCTCCTCCGTCTCCTCCTCTCCTGCCACCTGGCACCCCGCCAGCTCCTCAGGGGGATTTGGAAGGAGAGGAGGCCGCAAGAACTGCTCCTGGGGAAGACGCCCAGGAAGCCCTCGCTCAAGGAGAGTTGGAGGTGGATGGACGGCCGGAGGAGAATGAGGAGACTCAGGGCTTGAATGCAGTGCAGGGCCCTGGAGCAGGTAGGCCTTTGGTGCTCTTCGTGCGGGTACCTCCCTCTCACTGACCCCTGCCGCGGAGCCCGGGCCCGGGCCACCCTTGCAGGCATGCCTCTGTGCTCACCCAGTAAGGTTTTGTGAGTGGGAGCTGCCAAGGTAATTCTCACTGGCCCTAATCTCTGCATTTCAGTCCCCTGGTATGTGTCCCTCTGCCCTGCCTCCCCCCCGCATATCTTGATAAGTCGGCCAATTTGAGAATACTACCACACGGATCTGAAGGAGCAGGCAGTGTTCATGGAAGCTTCTGCCAGAATAAATGGGTTCATCTTGAAGGCTCCAAGGTGCTTCCGCCTTAAAGCAGGATGGTGATCTTCAGCAGGTTTCATTGTTTCTATAACATAATCTGTTGGCTTCGGGAGAATTCAGTGTGGAATAGACAGGAGGATGTTTGGGATTACCAGTGCTTCTTTCCGTCACTGATGATCAGGCACCAGGTTTCTGCCCCTGATCAAATAGAGAGACTTGGGTGACTAGCAGTCTTTGGATGGCTATAATTTCGAAATTTTCCTTCTGTCTCAACCTTCTCTTTTTAATTGGAATGTATTGATCATTTGTGTGAGAAAGAGGCACTCCTTGGTTTCTGGCCCATTTTTTTGCCCAGTTTCTTCATCCTCCCTTTAGGGGCAAGCCATCTATTTACTTCAGCTGTGTGCTTTTTTTAAAGCAAAGTAGATATGAGCATCGCTTGCAGGTGATGCCGAATGCAGAATTCACTTCCAACCACCCTAACGCCTAAAAGGCTCACTGTTTGTGTGAGGAGTGTCTTCTTATCAGTGTGATCCTCCCTTCAGTGAGCGCATCTTTCTCACAGTTTGCTCCTCTCCCTCCTGCAGCAAAAACAAGGCAGTCTTGTGGCCCCTTAAAGATCCCCTCCCCTTTCCTCATTTCCTGCAGTTGTACAATTTTGCCTAAAGCTCTACTCTTTGGGAAGTTTGTTGCAGAGAGCGAGAGTGCTTAGTGGGAGAATGAGGCGGCAGAAGCCTTGGAGGCGAGGGCGGGCAGGGCATGTGGGGAGACCTGGCGGGTTGGCGAGGACTTGGCCTCCTCTAGTTCTAAGCCACTCCCAGCAGGACTTTGTGGAAATCGAAAGTTGGCAGCCTGTGTCTCTGCTCTGGGCGTTTCTAGAAGGGTTACAGGGAGCAGTGTGCCTCCAGCCAGTGCAGCCATTTACCTGGAGTGAACTGGATTTTGCCCGTGCCCTTCCAGCCGGGCAGATGCTTTTGTGCCAGCGGATGAAACAGGCAACGTGCTGAGCAGGCTAGCGGCTCCCTCGGCCTCTTTGCTGCCGAAAGGATCTGGGAAGGACAGGTGTGTCCTCGTGGGACAGCGCTTCCCCCAGGCAGCATCCAGAGGCCGCCTCCGATCGGGACTCGCTGAACCGAGCGGCACGAAGGGATTGCCTGGATCCCGCTTCCCACATAACGAACGCTGCCGGAAACGTTCCCTGCCCATCTGTGCCTCACGCGGAACTGGCCCTCCCTGCAGCGCCTTCCTGCTGCTGGTGTTCCAGCCCCGCCGGGAGCAGCCGCTGAGGTGTGATCTTGTTCCCTCGTGCAGAGGGAGAGGCGTAGCAGCGGACATGGTGGTCTGCCAGGGGCACGTCAAGACGCCCCACTCCCCACTGAGAGTCCCCAGCAGGCAGCAGTCCCTGGAGGGGGACCGGGCCCTCGGCGCGCTGCTACGTACAGCGGCTGGGCTGTGCTGGGCTTACTGAATTGCAGCGGGGAGGATATGGCGGCGCTTTTCAGGAGCCTGAAGGGGGGACCCCAGAAGAGGGCTGCAGCCCGCTCCCATAATCCCAGATGAGAGGGGCCCAAAGCAGTGGGATGAAGCTGCAGGAAGGCAGATTTCAGTGAGCAGAAGAAGACTCTCCTGATGATCTGACTGCTAAGACCATGGAAGCATTTGCCTCGGGGTGGTGGGACCTCTGTCCTTGGAAATACTCGAGCAGAGCCTGGCCGACCATCTGGCGGGGGGCTTTAAATGGGATCCCTGCGCTGAGCAGCCCCTTCCAGCTCCAGGTTTCTAGGAAGTTGTCCAGGTTTTGTGTGAGCTCTGCAGAAGGAAGAGCGCAAGGGGAACGGTGGCCCCTCTCAGGTGTCCGCAGTTGCACGGGGTGGGTGGGAAGGGGCACAGGACCGGTGGGCCAGCACGTTGCGAGGGATGGGAAGGGGGCGGAAGGGAGCCTCTGTGTGCAGCCACAGCCAGGCAAAGCGGGCTGCTTTTGGAGCCAAGAGCCACAGAACGTGGAGGTCAGCGGCCACATGACCCCCTCCTTCACAGTGCCCTTCCAGGGGGTGTGTGCTGGGGAGGGATCCGGCCTGCAGCCTGGCCCAGTTTCGGTCCCGTTTCTGCGCATGAGATTTTGCCAGACCGAGGCACTGGCACACCTCAGGAGGCTCTCGCCTGCCCTCCCGCTGCAAATCCGTGCCCATTAAAACAGAAGCCGTATTAATTTCCTGCTGCCGAAATCGGCCTGGTGACCCACGTAGGGCCGCGAAGCGCTCGGTCTCGGCAGGAGGCTGCCGCTGGAGCAGAGCCCTGTCTGTGGGCCCACACTCCTGCGTTGCAAAGAGCAGCCATCTTGCTCTGGCCGCTGGATTGCATCCCTGCGAGAGATGCTGGCGGCGCGGGGCAGCGCGAGGCTTGCGAGCCCGCCGCCCCTGGAAGCGCTGCGCCTGCGGAGCGGCCGTGGTGGAGCTGAGGCGCCCTGCCTGCCGCCCGGTCAGCACGGCCCCTCCCTCCGAGAGCCCTCCGGCTCTGATCGGGAGCCGGCTCCATTGTCTGCAGCCGATCCGGGAGCACAGGACCTGCCGCCACTGCTAGGGGACAAGGAGGAGCAGGCGGCTGGTGAGAACGGAGCAGCTCCCCTGCCCTGCCCTGCCCTGCCGGCCTGCTGGGAGCCCCCCCTCCCCCAGGTGTCCACCTGGAGGGGGCTTCCACTTCCTCTGGGGGCTGCCCTGTGTGGCAGCCAGGCTATGGTGCTATTCAAGGCTCCAGCTTGGCCACAGGCCCCCCTAAAAGCCTTTCACGAGCAGTCCTGCTGGGGAGCGGAGGGGAAGAAGCCCCCAGAAAGGGGGCCCTGCTCCAGTGGGGAAGGCCACGTGCAGCATCCGTGGCGTGACCTTTCGTGACGGAGCAGCGTGCCCGGTCCTGCTCTCTGCGCTTAATGGGGGCGCGGGCGGGTCAGAGAGGGCGTGAGGCCGGGCTTTGTGGCACCAGGTTCCTTCCCATGGATAAGCGTGGTTGATTGTCTAGGTGAACTTGGGGACTTTTTCGCTTCGAATGTGTGCCCCCCCCCCCCAAATAGCAGGGATTGGATGGCGATTGGCTCTTGATTGCTAAAGCGTCAGCCCAGTGTGCGTTTTGCTGGTAGGGGAGATGAGGCCACAGGTGAAAAAAAGCATGTGCTGCTTTAGTGTTCTTCCTCGCTCACGGATAACGAAGCTCGCCGCCGCGTCCCCTCCCCAGTTTCTGTTGAGTCTAAATGTTGTAGTTAGAAGGGGCTGGGAAAGTCAGTGAAGTGCATTCAGCCCGTTGGACTTTGGTGATCAAGAGGGGCTGGTGCTGGGTTGCCATTTCCCTGGAAGTTCCCACTGCGACCCACAGACCAGCGTGGCGAGGGGCCAGCCGTGCCGCAGGTGCCGCTCTGGAGAGCTGCTTCCTGCCCAGCCCTGCTTTGCGTGCTGCTGACCGTGTCCTGAGCTGGTGATGGACTCTGAGCCCAGGGTGGCCTCTGGGGGGCGGGGGGGGGGGCACACGTGCCGCAGCCTGTGGCAGTTCTGCCTCGTTCAGGCATTCTGTCCACGCGAGAAGTGGAAAGGTCTGGACATGGAAAGGAAAGGAAAGGAAAGGTCTGGACATGGGGAGAATGTCCCACAGGAGGGTAGTTGAGGCAGCCGGTGGCAGGCAGCAGCCTCCAGGATCAGCGGCGGTTTCCCTGAAGGCGGCTTGCTGGGAAGGCTGCCGAAGGAGGGGCTGTGGCCTGCAGGCCTCGTCGGGGCCTCTGCCCAGCAGGCTGGCCACTGCATGGCGTGCACTGCAGCGGGGTGGCCCAGTGTCTCCCGGGGGTGTTTGGAGGTGATGCTTTGCCTGGTCTCCCCCCACCCCCACTCCACTCCCCTTGCCAAGCAACCTCCACAGCGCCATCAACATTTTTGTCGTGTTCTTGGGCCATCTTTGTCCAGGCTGCTGCCCCTCACTCAGGATCTCTGCTTTCTGGGTCCACCCCCTTCTACAAGATATTTCTGTGAACAAAACTGCAACCCCTCAGCATATTCTGGGATGCTTGGAGCGTGCCCCGTTTTTACTCTCTTTGCCAACAGAAACAAAGGTGAGCCAAGGAGGGCCTGCGCCTGCCGTTCCCAGAGCTGCCGCTCAGCATACATACGGTTGATGTTTGCCTATTTATTGCCCTCTGGCGTTAGAGTTACGGAACTGAATTGCTTGGCTGCGCTTTGGCCAGGGCGTGTGCATAGGATGGTTCCGCTTTATTCTGGCATCCTTCTTTCCTCTTCAGGGAAGAAAAGCAGTTTTAAAATGCAGTTTAGCAGGATTGGTGTCCTCCAGGGCTGGGCAAACATTTCAGATTCTTGGCAGCTGGTATCAACTGCTGGGGGGTTTCTGGATCTCATTTCCTTCTCACTTCTTGATGCTGGCGCAGGTGGGAGGGTGGATCTGTTTCCAGGTTGCAACCAGTTTGCAACATCTTCAGAACTCCTTGGCTGTGGTATCAGATTCCATGTTTTCACTAAGGCAAGATGGTTGTGCAGAAGTGGCATTTACTCCATCTGTGCCCAGAGTACAGGCTGCGTGAATGTAAGAACGTACTTAAGCAGCTCTGGTCCTTCCCCTGCTCCTTCGCTTTGCATCATCCTAGACCACACACACCAGTCGAGCGTCTTTTCAGAAACTCAGGAAAATTGGAGGGGCAGAAATCCTATGCTTTGTTCTTGTACTGTGATCAAATCGCCTTGGATTCCTTACCTGACTGTAGATGGAAACAACAGCAGTGAGAAATGTTCTTTGCCCCTTGTCCCAGGCTGTCCGCTCTGGGGCTGGACCGGGGGGCTTCTCCGCTTGCCCCTCCACGCAGCCTCAGCTTGCCGGAAGGTGCCGCCCCTGCGCCAGACTGCCCTGTAAAAGGCCTGCTTTTGGTTTGGCAAATAACCTGCTTGAACTTGCCTTGTAGCCCAAGCAGCTGTAACTGCACCAAAGACATGGAAGAAACCAAAAGATCGGAGCCAGGCCGCCCAGGAGGGAGTGGAGGCTGAGCCCGAGGTGAGAGCCTGGGGGGACCCCGCAAAAGCAGTGTGGGAACCCCCCAAGTCTCCTCCGTGTTTCAAGGGGTGACTGGTCTTGGAAGTGAGCGTGCTGGAGTGGTCCGGGGAGCCCCAGACTGGTCTTACAGCCACACTTCTTGAGTGGCTTCTCTCACAGAGAAGGATCCATTGCAATGCTCCGTTCAGGTGCGGCTTCTGATCCAGTCTGACTGAGATATGTTGATGGGATCCACCCAAAATCTGAGCAATCTTCTAAAATTGGTTTTGGGGAACGTGTGTGCGTACCTCCGCTTTCTCAGAGGCCACGATTACAGAGTTTTGCATATGGTGTAGCCAGCACTGAATTCCGTCTTGCAGTGCTTCTGCTAGGTCGAGGCGCCGGATGGTAGCTTTGGCTTGGCGCGTTTCAGCTTTTGTCACGGGAGCAGCTAATTCTGAACTTGCTGGTGTTTCAGCCTAAACCAGAAGAAGAACTTGGAGGTGACCGAATACTTGAATCTGAACAAGAGGCCATGAGCCATGGGACTGGCCCCAGAAGGGACTCTGCCCCTGACCTTAAAATAGTAAAGGCCTTGGAAGAAAATGGTGAGCAGGAAGGAGAGCCCATCCGTAATGGTGCTGAGAATGTTTCTGAGGATGAAGGAGCTGATGGGAGTTTGGGCTGCACAGAGAATCCCAGTGAAGCCCCGGCCAGCCAGTACAAACCAGGTAAGTCCCATTGTCGGCTTCTCTGTGCCTCCGTGGAATGCCGCTAGCCACCCCGCCTTCCCCCAGCACAGGTGGCTGCTGACCCGCCCCTCTGGCCAAGGGGCAGTTTTCCTAGCAGAGGATCGAGGGGGAACCGGAAGAGGGGCATTTGTGTACAGGCTGTCCTGAGACTGCCTTCCTGCCCAAGGAATCCTGGTCCTGGAACCAGCCGATGGATTTGTGTTTGGGATTTGGCTCCTGCTCTCAGAGAGGAGATACTCCGAGCCAGAATCCAGGTTGCCTCCAGTGTTTCAGGGTCACTTCCTTTGCTGCACATGCGCCCTGTTTGAGGGACATGCGCGAGCTGGAAAGTGGCCACTGGCTCGGATTTCCCCGTGCCTGTCCTTTGAGCAAAATGGCTGCATCAGCGCCGAGTCTCATGTGGACGTCTCGAAAGACACGGCTGTTTGAAAGGGAAGGCATCGCTTCCCAGATGTGCTCCTGCTCCTTGACTCCCCCCGTGCAGCCTCCGTGTCTCACGCAAGGGAGAGGCCTCTCCCAGGGGGTGAAGCTGGCATCGCCATGGCACCGGCTGGCAGCTGTTGCCACAGCCTCTTCCTTCCATTTCAGATCTTTAGTTTTGCATGCGGTGCCAGAACTCTCTTTTCCAGTGGGTAGAACTTGTGGCTCCAGTTTTTTACTGACTTTCAAGAGCATTTCCTTGATGATTCATTTCTGAGATGGACCCCTTGAAAGCTGGCAGCAGACGCATGCTTATTAAATGCCCCCTGGACCTGGACACCGCCCCCCCAATCGGCTGTTCTCTGGAGCTCTGCCAATCTGCAGCAGAAGTGGCCATCGTTAGCCCTCAGGGGGCAGCCTGCATCCCCTTGCGCCCCAGACCACATCCAGGCAAATTGCTGGCTGCACAGTTGGGCAGACGATGGCCGCTGTTTTGTGCGCGTGCTGCCTTTTTCTCACGCGTGAGGACTGGCCCGCAGTCACTGGGGGAGACCGGAGCCTAGGCCTGCCTCCCTGCCCAGGAGAGCTCAGTGTTCTGTCTGCTGAAGTGCACCCCTTTTCTTCCCTGCTCGCCCAGCCCGGCCTGGCCCGGCCTCGCCGTACCCGTGCCGCAGAGCGGGGCTGGGAGGCAGCAGCCGAGGGAAAGGGCCACCACAGCTCACGCTTCTGGGGGGAGCAAGTGCCCGTTGATGGGGAAGGCCTGGAGGGCAGCAGAGAGCAGCCGGAGTCCCGGCCCTGAGGCAGCCTTGTGCCCCCCTTACAGAGCAGTGGAAGCCTCTGGACTCGGAAGGGAAGAAGCAGTATGATCGGGACTTCCTGCTGGACTTCCAGTTCATGCCTGCCTGCATCCAGAAGCCGGAGGGGCTGCCGCCCATCAGCGACGTGGTCCTCGACAAGGTGAGCGGCTGGTCTCGGGGAGGCCGAGCAAGCCGGAGGGGGTGCCTACAGGATGCCAAGCAGAGACGAAAACGAGACCGCCCCAGGGCAGATACGCAGCAGGATGACTATTCCGCTTCTTTTGGTTGAGGTGGCAGTTCCCGAAGCCGGGACGTTGTCAGAACTAGGCTGAGTGTGCGACCAGCTCCAGACAGTGCGGTTATCTCTAAGGTGTCGTTTTTATGCCAATACAGATAAATCAGCCCAAGCTGCCTCTTCGAACGTTGGATCCTCGGATATTGGCACGGGGTCCAGATTTCACTCCGGCTTTTGCTGATTTTGGAAGACAGATCCCTGGTGGGCGAGGTGCAGCTGTAAGTGTGCGTGATCCCCTGTCCTGCGGAGTAGACGCTACCCTGTGCTTTTAGTGCCAAGCACGCTCTCCACCACTGGCTCCGTCTTAGCCCTTCACAGGGGAAGACACGCAGAACCGTAGCTAAGCAGCCGGGAGGAAGAGAAGTTCTGCTTTCTGTCATTTGCATCTGGTGGTTTGTCTTGCGGCGTTTCTTTCTCTTTGCCACTTTTCTCTGTTTTCTCTTGCTTTTCCTCTCCTTCCATTGGTTGACCCCTCCCTCTCTCCCTCCCTCCCTCTTGTTTTCCCAACTTCTGTCTGGTTCTTTTATCTTCCTATAAGCTGGAAATTTTGTGCTTGCTTCCTTGGCTCCAGCTGCCTGGAAAAAAAAAAATCCAGCCTGTGACTGATGGCAGCACCATAGTCTCCGGGGGGGTGGTGGGGGGGGGGTCAGCCAGGGATGCCAAGAGGCGCTTTCTTTAGGAAGGGGCTTTGAGCTCACGCCAGCGCTTTGGCGGATGCAGTGGCCACCCGGCTGATGGCTTTGAGGGGAGGTCCCTTGGGAGTCTGGGAGCAGAGTAGAACCGTGGGGGCTGAGCCAGGTCGCCGTGTGCTAGGTGCTTTCCTGAAGCACCTCCTTTGATGGTGGCCCTCCTGGCACAGCCTCTCTACGCCTGCCCCCAAGGCCTCCCCAGGAGCAGCAGGCGTGCCTCCTTTTGGCCTGCAGGGGGGTTGGAGGGCAGGCCCCACCTGCGAAGAAGCCCCCTCTCTTTTACCCCCCTCTTTTGCTTGCTTTCTCTCTCTCTCCAGGCTTGCAAAGTGCAGCCCCCGCCTGGACTGCAGTCGCTCGCTCGGTGCGGCCCCCCAGCATGCCCTCTGTTGGTCTCGTCTCACCCACAGCTGAGGAACCTGCAGATAGGGGTAAGCTGTCCTGCTGCCTCCCTCCCGCCCCCCTCCCCAGCGGGGAGCACCTCTGTACGACGGTGCCCCCCTTCCTTTGAGAGCACAAAGCCGTTGTAAGAGAAGCGCAGGCCTGTGCCGGAAGGAGCGCCGGCCGTGCCGTGCCGTGCCGTGCCTTCCTCTCTAGGCCGCCTCTTCCTCAGTGGTGGGTGGGACGTCCCCAGCAGAGGGCATGCTGGAACTCTGGCCTGAGCTGGATGCGCCCGGGGCTGCCCTTTGCGGTCCTGCGGAGAGGGGGAGACCAGGTAAGTCCCGCTTGGCCCCGCTTTCGTTGCTGTCCTTGGGTCCTGTGCGTTTTTGGGACCTTCGCAAATGTGTGCCGAGCGGCGGCTTTTTCCTTCTGCTTTTCTGAAAACAAGCAGCACTTTGCTATTGTTGGCACCTGATAACTCAGTTAATAGAGTCACAGACTTCTGCCGAAGAGAGACATTTTACTGCTTTTGACATGACGGAGGTGAGGCGATGAGCAGCAGGCAAGGGCACCGGCACCCTGCAGAGCCAGCTGTTTTGCTGCTGCAGCCTCCACAGCTGGCCACAAGCGAGCCAGGCAAAGCACGAGTGGCCAGGGCCGCTGGTGCCTCGGTTTCCTCATGGGGAGGGATCCACGGGCCCGTCCAGCAAGATGACGTGTGACTGACCGGCGTCGGACTCCTGGCTGCCAAACCTTGAAGTGCTGGATTTGTGGTGGGTGGTGAACTGGGCGAGAGAGTGAGACCAAGGAGGAGGCCACAGGGGGGCTCTGGTCTGTGTCTGTGCTGGCACAGCAGGCGCCTGAGCCTCAGCAGCAGTTGGGAATGGTGTCAGGATCCAACTTTGCTGAATGCATGTGCCTCCAAGTCCAAATCGCCTGGATGGCTTTACCCTGCATGCGGGGCTTGGAGTGGGTGCCCTCCCACCCCGGCCTTCCGGTCTCCCCACCAAGGAGGCCCGTGTGCTGGAAGTGGAGCCCCAGGAAAGCTGGCTGTGGCCTGGGGGGCTCGACCGGCTCCCTCCTGGTGGGGCAGAGCGGGGCGGCTGGGCTTGCATGTCCCTGCATGCTTGTTCCCAGAGCAGTGGAGTGTGGGCTGGTGTGTGGTGTGGTGTTGTGTCTCCCACGGATGTGCTGCTTGCCACAGGAGTGCCCCTCGGAGCACGTTTGCCCCCTGGGCCTCTGCAGACCAGTGGAAAAGAGCAGAGAAAGGGGGAGCCCCCCCCCCCCGAGATACGGGGTTCTGTTCTGTGGCATTAGGAGAGTGCTTTGCCAGGGGCTGGAATTCAGGAGTGGCTGCGCATGTACTTGATCTGCCAGGGGGCCGCTCACGTTACCTGTGATGGCAGCTGTGGGCTTTTTGCCTGTGATCGAGGAGCAGGCAGCAAGCACTTCAGGACGCAAAATGACCCCCCCCCCGCCCCCAGTAAAGCAGCCTTCTGCAGCATGCACCCTGCCTCCTTTGTCACCCTTCCCCCTGCAGAAGTGGTTGGGGCTCTTTGCCCTGGAGGTGCGGGCGCCCTGGTCTGCCGTAGTCGGGGCGAAAGATGGCCGGGAAGGGTTGGCCGCGGGGGGAGCTGCCTGTCCCTGCATTTTGACTGGCCAAAGAAACGCAGGTTTTTGTAGGATGGGGCGGGTCTGCTGCCGCGTCTGTTTGTTATTTACTTAGGCATTTCTGTACCCCTGGAGACAGTTCACAATGAAGAACATAAAAGCAGGGTAGACTATAAAGGGGTGATGTGAAACATTGGCTGTCTGATGTGCCACCATAGATAAAAACTCACAGCAGTTAAAGTTACAGACCAGCCCTGCATTCTGCCAAAAGCATCTGAGGATAGTGGGATCTTGAGGTCCCGTTCAAAAGCAAACGAAAAATGAGTTGAGTGGGGCAGGGTCTCTGCCAAAAAGGGTACCTGTTCTGGCCCCCACCCTGATGGCTCCTCATGGTATGCCTGGAAACAGGGCGTCAGTAGCCGGCCTTTGGTCGGATCCTGTGATCCGTTGCAACGTCGGAGGCCATCCTCAAGCAGACGAGGTGTCGCGCTGTGTGGTTTGGGCTCCACATCAGCAGCTTTCTCAGTCCGACCAAGTGATGCCAGGGATGGCAGTCGGCCGGGGGAGGGGGGGTGGATGGCTGGCTCTGCAGGTAGCCTGGCCCCAAACTTAAGGGCAGCAGCCCACCACCTGGGCACTCCGGGTGCTTTGGGCCTGTCTGCCACCCTCCCCAGTCATCGGCCGTGCTGGCTGGGGCTGACGGGCTGCTCTGGGGCTTTATGCTTGCGGTTGGGCCGGAGAGCCGTTGGTGCCCAGTGCTGTTGGTGCGGAGCCACTGCTCTGTCCAGCGCAGGCAGCCCCTGTGCTCGGTCCTGCCCCTGCCCGAGCTGCCTGGCGCCTCTGGAAAGCTCCCCCCGTGGAGCGGGCTGCAGGAGCAGGGGTGGCAGGCCCGCTTGCCCACAGGCATTCCGGGCTCCGCAGGGAAGCCCCCGCTGTGGTGACCCCCTGGCGCTAAAGGGGGCTGTAATATTTGGGGGGTGGTTTTTGTCCCAGCTCTTGAACGTCGGCCCTCGGAGAGCGCAGCCGGGCCAGCGGCGGGAGCCCCGGAAGATCATCACTGTTTGCGTCAAGGAGGACGTCCACCTGAAAAAGGCGGAGAACGCCTGGAAGCCGAGCTTGAAGCGCGAGACGCAGGCCGAGGACCCCGAGAGCATCAAGACGCAGGTGAAGCGAGGGGGGAGGCCCCGGTGGCCGCTCGGGCCCTGGCGCTCTCCCTGCGTGGGCCCGGTGGCCTGCCCGGCTGCGGGGCCTGGCCAGTCGTGGGGGACTGGCTGGCGGGAAACAAGCGCAGAGGCGGGTGAGGGCCTGCCCTCCGGCGAGCCCGCTGGCCGGGCTCCCCTCCCCGGATTTCTCTGCCTCGGCTCTCTGAGAGGACGAGGTGGCGCCCATGGAAGTGGCCCCCTTCCCTCTTTCTTCTGCCACCCGGGGGCAGCGGAAGCTTCATGCCCATTGTCCTTTGGCTGCAGGAGCTGTTCCGCAAAGTCCGAAGCATCTTGAACAAGCTGACGCCACAGATGTTCAATCAGCTCATGAAGCAAGTGACGGATTTGACTGTGGACACGGAAGAGAGGTTGAAAGGCGTCATCGATCTGGTGTTTGAGAAAGCCATCGACGAGCCCAGCTTTTCCGTGGCATACGCAAACATGTGCCGATGCCTCGTCACGGTGAGGAAGGCAGCTGGGTGGGGAGTCCAGGAGAGAGGCCTGCCGGGAGGAGCGACCGTTCCGTGGCAGAGCGCCGCTGGCTCTGCGGGAGGCCCTGGGTTCACCCCAGGCGTGAGCTGCAGCTCAGGAGGGTCAGGGGGATGAGGAGGAGACTGGAAACTTGGCCCGGGCATCGCACTCAGTCTGGAAGCGGCAGCCAAAGTGCTGGAGCCCCGTTGGGCCCTGGCTGTCGGAGGCCCCCACGGGAGGGAGGTCGGGTCAATACATTATTAGAAGAAAAACACTAACTGGCCAGGAGCATTTTGGCTTTTAAGCGCAACATTACCTGCCTTCGAGATCAGCAGCACTCCTTCAAACAGTGTCCCTGGTCCAGACGCAGCTGAACTAGTTTTGGAGGTCACAGAATATCAAGCAAGGTCCCGGGCAGAGGCAGCAGAAAGAGTAAAATAGATCTCGGGGGACTGATTTGAGCGAGCAAAGCAAGAGGAGGAGAATTGTGCAGGCTGCCCTGAGTTCCCTGAAAGGGACAAAAGCAGGCTATAAATATAATAAATAATAAAACAGTGCAGGGAGGTTCAGACAGCTCGGGGAACCGACCTAGTCATTATTGAGGAGCCTATGCACTATGAGGTGGCTGGGATTGGCTGGATGAGTTTTTTGCAGATATCCTACGTAGCAGAGGGGGACCATGGCAACTCCCATGAGCCACAGTGGGTTAGGTCTGCCCAGGCAAGGGTTTCTTGGGAAAGGAAGGGGTGTGGAGGACGCCAAAAGTAACTTGCTCTCTGTTTCTTTCAAGAGGATCAGAGTGGCAACATTAGGTAGACAAGTCCGTTACCGGGGCCCGTTTGCCGAGAATGGTCTGAGGCGTCGGCACGAGCCGGGGCTTTAAGAGGGGGTGCAGGTGGCGTGAGTGCTGCTCCCGCGTGGCATCCAGCAGCGCCTCTTGCGTGCCGCCTCATTCGCCGTCGTCTTGTGCCCTTTGGCTTGTGTCCCGCGCAGCTGAAAGTGCCCATGGCTGACAAGCCTGGGAGCACCGTAAACTTCCGGAAGCTGCTGCTGAATCGTTGCCAGAAGGAGTTTGAAAAAGACAAAGCGGATGACGATGTCTTTGAGAAGAAGCAGAAAGAACTGGAAGCTGCGACAACGGTGAGTCTCCAGGGAGGCTTTCCAGTCCGTGGCAGCCCAAGGCCCCATCCACGGGGAGCGGTGCTGTCGCCAGATGTGGGCGAGATGCTTTGGGCTGGCTGGCCCAGAAAGCCTGGCAAAGGGCGCGTGGGGCAGAGAGGGTCCGCCAGAGGTCTGCACGGGTCTCCAAGGCCCTTCACGCGCTTCTCTGCCCCGCAGCCAGAGGAGCGGACGCGGCTTCACGATGAGCTGGAAGAGGCCAAGGACAAGGCCCGGCGGCGGTCGATCGGGAACATCAAGTTCATCGGCGAGCTCTTCAAACTGAAGATGCTGACGGAGGCCATCATGCACGACTGTGTGGTGAAGCTGCTGAAGAACCACGACGAGGAGTCTTTGGAGTGCCTCTGCCGCCTGCTGACCACCATCGGCAAAGACTTGGACTTTGAGAAAGCCAAGGTGAGCGGCGCCAAGGTCCGCCTGAGACAGGAGGCCGGGCACACAGCCGCCTTGCCGCTGCAGCCTCCTCCACGGGGGAGAGCCAGCACCAGGACCTCTTCCGCAGTTTGAATGGCGAGGGAGCGTCCCGCACCACTCAGTGGCAGTTGTGCTGTGATTCCGGCTGTCCAGCTCATCCTCCCTGAACTGGCAGGGGCTACCAAGGGGTCCTGGCAGATACCCGTGGACACTGTCAGTGCCAGGGCGGCCCACGGAGCCGGTTCCATGCGGTCGAGATTGCCAGTCGATCTGCAACGAGGTGTAGCGGCTGCCCTCAGTTGACGTGTCCTTGCAAGCGGCTTGCGAAAGGGCGGGAGGCCGGGCGGCCCCGGAGCTGCTGGCACACGGGATGGCCAGGGCAGCCTCCCCGCGTGGAAGCGGTGCCCGCACGCCGGTTCCTGGGCAGCAGCCGTGGGGAGGGTTGCTGCCTTTGTGGCCGGTGGCGAGTTGTCTCAGCCCGGGGGAATCTGGATGCTTCCCTGGGCGGGCCTCCTCATGCTGGTCTGGCAAGCCCGTTGCACCCCGGTGGTCTTTGGAAGAGATGGACTTGCGGAAGGGCCTTGCAGGCGGTCTCTGGGGCCTGCCCAGGCCGGGGTGGGAGATGCTCCTGGCCGAGGTCCTGGAGAGCGGCTGCTGCTGCCGGCCAGTGTGGGCAGTGTTGGGCTGGCTGGACCGAGGGCTGGGCTCGGTGGAGGGCCGCTTCGTACATTCCTGCGACCGATGCTGGAAGGCCCTGTGTTTCCCCTAGCCTCGGATGGACCAGTATTTCAACCAGATGGAGAAGATAGTGAAAGAGAGAAAAACCTCCTCTAGAATCCGCTTCATGCTTCAGGATGTCATCGACCTCCGGCAGGTATGTGCTTGGTGAGGAAGGCAGCTGTGCTGGTCTCTTCCCTTTGACTTGAAGGTGCTCCAGTGGCTCTTGCTTCTGGACGGGCAGCTGGTGATATCAGAGCAGGTGTGCAAAGGAGTGGGGGGGTTGAAAGTTGCTTGGGTCACGCTCAGAAGGGGGACAGGCGTGCGGGCAGGACTCCTCTCCCCTCCTCTCCCCTCCTCACTTGGGGCCTCTGCCTGCCTGCGGCTCTGCTGCCTTCATGCCCCGAGGGAAGGCGGCCAGTCCTTACTTCCTGCGGGACCTTTGTCTCCTCTGCAGTGTAACTGGATTTCCCGGAGGGCCGACCAAGGCCCCAAGACGATAGAGCAGATTCATAAAGAAGCCAAAATCGAGGAGCAGGAGGAGCAGCGGAAGGTCCAACAACTGATGACCAAAGAGAAAAGGAGGCCTGGTACGTTTCCCGTGCACGGTGCCGCTTGCTTTCCCTGGGGCAGGAGAAGCGGGGGCCCTGCTGCTTGGCAATCCTGGAGGGAACCGGCTGAATTGCCTTCCAAGGCCAGCGGCTTCAGCACATTTTCCAGGTTCAGGTCTCAGTGTGTTTTGCGGAGCTCCAGTAGTTCTCCTAGAGAGCAGCCCCACAGCCCGGGGTTTCTCTGGGACAGGGGGTGGCGGGGGCGCTGATTCCACAGATGAGGAGACGTCAGAGGCAGCACTGAGAATCGCCCTAAGGCAGATGTTTGCGCCAAAGAAGCGCTCGCTCCCTTTTGAACCCAAGGACTGTCCGGCAGGAGTCCGATTATGACGCTTGTTCCGAACGGTTGATACTGCTGGCTGTGTCTCTGTCGGAGCTGGTCTGTTCTCTGGTTTGCAGGTGTCCAGAGAGTAGAGGAGGGTGGCTGGAACACCGTGCAGGGGGCAAAGAACAGTCGCGTGCTGGACCCCACCAAGTTCCTGAAAATCACCAAGGTGAGGCCATCCCTGGGGGTGGTCGGGGGCAGGGCCTCGCTTCGGAGGCTGGCAGGTCTTCTCCCGTGCGCCTCATTGTCACCATGCTTTCTCCAAGTTGGGGGTGGTGGTGGGGATACTGCCTGCCCCTCGGCCTCCCCTGGAGTCCAGGAGGAAATCCGGGGAACAGAATCGGGAGGGGGGCTGCCAGCGCCCCTCTCCACCCCCTGGCTCGGCCCCTGTGACTCGTGTCCCCGTGTGTCTTGCAGTCCACGATAGACGACAAGATTCAGCTTGTGCCTAAGGCCCAGTTGGGCAGCTGGGGGAAAGGCAGCAGCGGCGGAGCCAAGGCCAGTGAGACTGGTAAGTGTGGGACGTGCCGGCTTTTCCCTGCTGGACAGCACTGGTGCTGCAGCAGCAGGCGGGAGGGGCTTCCCGGTCGCCCCCGTCGCCTCGCTGTACCCGGCCCCGGCTCAGTTTCCTTTAGAAAGGGGGCATGCGAACTCCTTGCACTCAGCAGGCCCCTGAACGTCTACGCCAAAGTCATTAAAATCATGCGCCCACTGAATTCTGTGCCCTGGGCACACGTCCCCTCATTCGTGTGTGGCTCCCCTTTCCCAAGGCAGCCAGCTTGGTGCTCCACTCAGCCCCGCGTGGCTCCCTGCGAAGCCTTCAGTGTGCTTTTCCCTCCCGAGATACGCGCAGCAGCTGGCTTCCCTGGCCAGAACCGCCCGGGGCCTTGCCCTGTCGCTGGCCCTGGAAGTCTCCTAGTCGCCTGGCCGAGCCTGCGGGTCCCCTGGAGCACCTCCGTGAGCCAGAATGAGTGACCCCAGCCCCACAGGGAAGGCGGGCTCGTGCGCTTTCTAGGGGGACACGGGAGTGCTGCCTCCAGAGGGCCTCCGCACAGCCCAGCCGTGACCCCTTGCTCCTGAGAGCAGGGCTGGAGCTGAAGGGTGGAGGTGGCAGGGATGCGGAGACTGGCCAGGCGTCGGGAGAAGGGGCCCGGTGGGGGGCTTGCGGGGGACTCCTGAGGCAGGGCTGGGCCATCTGGTGGGTTCTGCAGCTTCATCCCATGCTGCGGAACCTGCCTGGAGCAGGGGGCCTGGTGGCGTAATCACCAAGGTCCTGTCCAGACCTGTCCCTCCATGGTGCTGTTTAGGGGCACTTCTTCTCTGTCCCTGAAAAGTGTCTAAATACCCCATTCAAATGATTTCCGCCCCACAAAATAAATGTTTAAAAGACTTGGATCATAAACTCCATAAAAAGCAGTTATAAAGGGAAAATGCGGTGTGACTGCAGATCAGTGGCGTGCTCAGAACCCGGGCGAGCTCCCCGCAGCCTGGACGGTGCGCGCCTGCCAGTGAGGGGCAGCAGCACAGGTGTGGCCAGGAGGAGCGCTGGGCCCCAGCAAGCAGTGTCCGGGCGTCCGCGAGGCAGCTGTTACTCTCCCCCACGTCCTCTTGCAGATTCCTTACGACCAAGTGCCACTAGTTTGAACCGATTCTCTGCACTGCAGCCTCCTGTGCCATCGGTATCCGCCTCGGTCCCCTCCTCCGATCTGGACTCTCGCAGGGCCTTAACTAGGTAAGCCTCAGGCAGCCTGCCCCGCTTCTCGCCCCGTGCCCTCTCCAAACCCGCCCGTTGCCTCGGAGAGGGTCCAGGCCGAGCGAGGCAGCCACGTGCCCGTCAGCCGGGCACGCCTGCCAGCTGCTCGCCCTCTTCAGAGACTGTCAGTCCCGAGTTGAAAGAGGCGCTAAGAGTTTCTTCGAGGGACTGTCCCTTTCCACTGAGTGCTTGATGTCTGTGTTTGTTTGTTTACCACCCCTGGAATGCATGTTCTAGACTCGTCTGTCTGTCTCTGAGCCACCTCTTTTTAGCCGTGACGGGAGTAAGAGAGTTACCGGGGCGTGTCTCTCCTCTCTCAGTCGTGGGAGCACAGGCAGAGAGAAGAACGACAAGCTGCTGCCCTCGTCCGTGGCCCGCCCCAACGCCTTCCTGCGGGTCAGCAGCAGCAAGGAGCAGCTCTTGGACAACCAGGCCCAAGAGGAGCAGCGGAGGGAGATGCTGGAGACAGTGAAGCAGCTGACGGGTGGCCTGGAGAGCGACCGAAGTAGCGGCCTGGAGGCAGACAGGAGCAAAGCCAAGGAGCCGGGTGAGCAGCGGGGCCCTTGCGGTAGTGCCGAGGGCGTGTGTCAGAAGACAGCCCTTCCATCCTCAGGGAGATCAGCAACTTGCAGAAGGACACCTGGGTGCTCTCTCTTGCTTCCAGCATGCCGGGCAAGCACTTTAAACTTGGGCTTGTTGGAATCATAGAAGAGAAGAGTTGGAAGGGGCCGGAGGGCTGTTGGATCCAACCCCTCCCACCTCAGGACAGGACTCCCAGTTAGACCTGTAAAGAGCATTAACCCTCCCCAGTATTGCTTATTTTTCCAATTTCCCCAGAATTTCCATTTTTTCTGAAGCAATTCTGGCATTCCCTCTCCCCCCTCCCCTTGCAATTGCCTTAACAGCCAAGCCCGAAATCCACACGTCCCCTGCCCGAGAAAAGCCTGTCTTGTCGGAAGAGGAAATAGAGAGAAAGTGCAAATCAATCATTGATGAATTCCTGCACATCAACGACTACAAGGTAGGTGAAGCGGAGCGGCCGTTGTGACAAGCTTGTGCACAGGACGGGCCCCCCATGCTGCCTCTGCCCAGGCCCCGCTCCTCGGGGTGCTCATGCTTTGTCCCAGCCCCTCGCCGTCTTCATGGTCCTCGGCTCCAGAGAGATGCTGCTGGGGAGGCCTCTGAGGCACTCTGAACTGGCGCGGCCTGGGGCAGGATCGGCTTCTCTGGGAAATCGGCTTCTTTGCCCTTGTGCCGGCTGTGCCCCGGGGAGAGAGCCGCGCCCGCAGCCCCCTCTTTTGTTTGGCCGTCTCGGGACAGGAAGCCATGCAGTGTGTGGAGGAGCTGAATGTGCCGGGCGCCCTGCCTGTCTTTGTGCAAGTTGGAGTGGAGTCCACCCTGGAGAGGAGCCAGATCACCAGAGACCATATGGGCCAGCTGCTGTATCAGCTGGTGCAGTCGGAGACGCTGAGCAAGCAGGACTTCTTCAAGGGGTTGGTAGCGGGCCGGGGAGGGCAAACTCTCTGGGCATTCTTCCTTGTGGGGGACTGGGGACTCTTCCCTAGAACCCCGAAGCGGCTGCTGAGCCTCCCCGGCTGAACGTACGCGGCCTTGTCCCACAGGTTTGCCGACACCTTAGAGACCGCGGACGACATGGCGATCGACATCCCGCACATTTGGCTGTACCTGGCTGAACTGGTGACTCCCATGTTGAAAGAAGGAGGGATCTCTCTCAGAGAGCTTCTGACGTAAGTGGCCCTCCTGCCCCGTGTGGCCCGCAGGGCGGATCCACCCGCCCAGTGGGCAGCCTGTCGTGTGAGGCCGGCGGCCTCGGCCGGTCTCAGGCCGAACCAGGTTGGGGGATTTGGGCATTGCCGTCCGGTGCAGCCGGAGGCACCAGGGTGTGGAAGGTGAGACCAGACAGGCATGTCGTGAAGGGCTGATGCTGCAGAGGGCAGGCGGCTGTGCAGCTTCCCGCGTGCCAGAGCTTGGCTCCTGCGCAGAGGCTTTCACCAGCAGAACGCTCTGGTGGCGGCCGGAAGAGCGCGGTGGAGGGAGATGCTGGCCTTCCCTTGCCGGTGGAGCTTCCCGCTGACCCTTGTTTCTCTTCTGTTACAGAGAATTTAGCAAACCCTTACTTCCTGTGGGAAGAGCTGGCATCTTGCTTTCCCAAATTTTGCACCTTCTATGCAAACAAATGGTAGGTATGCCAGGCGGCTCGGCTCGCAGGTCTGTGCGCATGCGTGGAAACGAGATCCGTGAGGCGGTGGGCGGGGCGGGCGTGCTTGTCGGGAGCCCAGGCCCAAGCAGTGAGCCGCGTGGATGCCGTGAGTCATTTTGATGAGGAGCAGGAAGCGTGTGGGGCTGGAAATGGGGCGCTTGCTGCAGAGGGCGGGGTGGGCTGGGGCAGCAGTGGGCCTGCCGGGCCAGGCCCCTCCCGCCAGGCCTTGCACAGCCCAGCGGAGCTGCTTTGCGTTCCAGAGCCATAAGAAAGTGGCGGCCTTGTGGAGGGAGGCCAGCCTCAGCTGGAACGACTTCCTACCTGAAGAGGAGGATGTCCACGCCTTTCTCATGGAGCAGGTGGGCTGGGCGGCCGGTGAGCGGGCTGCTCGCGGCGTTGGGGGAGGCGGGCCCCGCTTGGCTCCGACTTGCAGACTGCTACCACAGGAGCACCCGTCTTCTGAAGGCCGGGGCCGCTGGTAGCTTCGCCGCGTTCCTCGCCAGAAGTTCCCAGCGAGTCCCCCGGGACGTCTCCATTTAAGCCCTTCCACCTTCTCTTGTCATGCTGCAGAAGTTGGACTTCACAGAGACGGAGAGCCCCAGTTCCTCAGAAGCACTTTCAAAGAAAGAACTTTCTGCTGACGAGCTGGACAGGCAGCTGGAGAAGCTCATCACTGAGGACAAGGCGAATGACGAGCAGATCTTCGACTGGGTGGAGGTACGGCCACACGCGCGGGCAGGCCAGCAGCTGCCTGGCCCGAGCCCGGCCTCCTGCTCCCGCTCGCGCCCCTGCGGCCCCTCGTGCCGCCTCGGCACAGGCTGCTGCCCAGGTCGCAGTGCTCGGGGCGCCTTGCCGGGACCGCCTTTGCCCGCCACACACATACACCGCGCGGTCCCCGCCCAGGAGGCGGCTGCGTGGGGCAGGGTCCGGCACGAGGCCGGGGGTGCAGAGGCTGCTCTGCGCGGGAGCCACATCGGAAAGGCTCCTCCGGCAGCGCGGCCCTCGCGCAGGCCGGGTGCCCTGTAACGTCCGCGCGTGTGCTTGATTGCAGGCTAATCTAGACGAGGGCCAGATGAGTTCACCTACATTCCTTAGAGCTTTAATGACAGCAGTTTGTAAAGCGGCTATTATAGGTGAGTAACGTCCTCACGTAATTGAGCCATCGGGACGCACTTGCGGTGGATCCGAATGGCCCGTTTCTGTTCCTTTTTAAACGGATGTGTTCTGCCTGCACACCTGCTCTTCTCACGGCGAGCGTTAGAGTGCTGGGACCCGTCTGCCTTTTTATTTTACTTCGAATGGTTATGAGCTATTATACTGATCACAGATGATTTATTTTATCAAATGGATAAAACAGTGAAGGGAGGTCATGGCTGACAACCAAGGTGCCACCGGGCAGCACGCTGTTGCGGCAGGACCGTTCCCACCTGGGTTCGGTTACTCAGTTCAAAAACCTCGTAGTCATTTGTGCAGCGGCAACTCTTGGCTCGGATGGGGATAGGAGGGGCCCTAGAATTTTAGTCGGACAGGGATCTTCCCTTCTTGTTTTCTGGGAATGACTTTTTGGGGTGCTGTCGACCCTGGCGAGGCATCTGTGTGCCCCTCAAGCGGATGCTGTTGGTCAGACCCTGTGCTTGCAGCCCTCTCAGAAGCTCAGTAAAGCTGTGAGGGGAGAGGAGACTGCCGCACGCATGCGCCTCCCTGCGGGGGCTGCTGCTGAGGCCCTCTTCTGGCAGCCGGGATGCCCGTGCTTGGATGCTTCCCCGTCAAAAGATAAATTCCTTGCGCATAGAAGCCTTGCCTGGGAAGGAGAATGCTTCGGATCTAGCCGGTTGTGTGTAGGCAGTCATCATTTGGGGGGGCGTGGTACGAAGGAGCAGGTCGTGTGAGCCCCCCCACCCCCCCGCAATCTGAAGAAGGGCAGCCAAGTGAAAAGGAGATCGTTATATCCCCGAATCCAAGCTGGTGTGGAGATCGTGCCATCTCCGCTTGTTGCACTTGAGGCGCAGGTGGGGCTGTTTGCACCTCGTGGCAGCCCAGCTGGAGGGGCTGTTGTTCTGAGCGAGCTCGGTCTTCCCCATGGAGCCGCCCGCCCGCCCCCCCTGCCCGCCCAGCCCCCAGCACTGATCCGGGGCCTTCCCTTCCCAGCGGATAGCTCTAGCCTGCGAGTGGACACTGCCGTCGTCAAGCAGAGAGTGCCGGTCTTGCTTAAGTACCTCGACTCGGACACAGAGAAGGAGCTACAAGCACTTTACGCGCTACAAGCATCAGTAGTAAAGCTGGATCAGCCTCCTAGTGAGTGCATTGCGTGTCCGGGCTTTGGGCCACCAGGGTTTGCGCGCAGTGGAGGGAGCTGGCGGGAAGGCGGCTGGCCGAGCCTGCCGGGAAGGCCCTGGACCCCTTGCCCTGCGGGGCCGCCTTCCGAGGGGCTGCCGGCTCCTCAGCACAGAAGGCCGCGGGCCGCGGGGGCAGCAGCGGGAGCGTCTCCTCTCATTCCCGCGCTCCCTCCGCCTGCCCGAATTGCCGCCCTGCCCCGGGAGCGGAGGACGACGGGGCAGGCGCCAGCCACAGGCCCACGAGCATCCCCTTCCCAGGGGCGCCCGCGGGGAGGGCCCCCCGGCAGCTCCGGGTGGGGAGCATGCACAGGTCCCGCAGGGACCCCCGGAAGGGCAGGTGGGGCAGCTCGGCTCCCGCTCGCCGCAGAGTCGGCCAGCCAGAGTGCCGTCTCGAGGGTGGTCTCCCCCCCCCCCCGCAGATTTGCTGCGGATGTTTTTCGACTGCCTCTATGATGAGGAGGTGATCTCGGAGGACGCTTTCTACAAGTGGGAGAGCAGCAAGGACCCGGCGGAGCAGCACGGGAAGGGCGTGGCGCTGAAATCGGTCACGGCGTTCTTCACGTGGCTACGAGAAGCTGAGGAGGAGTCGGAGGACAACTAAAACTGAATACAAAAAACAGCAAAAAAATCCCACAAAAAACACAATTTAAGTATTTTTTTAAAAAAAGTTTCATGTCTTCGCCAATCACAGTGCAGCAAGGCCAATTCTCGCGCAGATCCCCCCTCCCCCACGTGTGCACGAGCGGGGGAGGAAACATAGGTATAAACGCAAAGGCGATCATGGAGGACAGAAAACGTACTTGAAAATTCAAGTCCACTTCAAACCTGAGGGCAGGAGCACTAAACCAAAATACATCTATTATTTATAGAAAATATTTTCTCTTTTAATCTTTTTTTTCCTTTTTAAACAAGGACTCTTACTTTAAGAAAAAAAGCAAATCTGTTTAGCAAAAAAATGAGAACTTTAATTTATTATTTTAAGAACTGCAAATGTCAGTGTAATTTTTAAATTTGCAGTTTCTGTAACAAATTGTATAATAGACAAAAAAAGCAGAGAAATAAATTTCCCTCCCTTTCAGATCCACCTCAGTTTTGTTTCAAAGCACGGTAGCTATATAATAAATTCCAAAGGGGGTCAGGAACGAGCTAGGTGAGGGAGATGAACTTTTCAAAAAAGAATGTCAGCAGATTTTCTGCCTGCCTCTCCGCTCGCTTCCAAAATTAAAAAGAAAATGCGTAACAGTGTAACGCAGGAACCGCATTTGCGAAAACAGCCGTGGACCAGGCTGCTTGGAGAACGACTCCGCCAGTCGCAAGCAGGGCTACCCTGGAAGCAGAAGCAGAAGAAGAAAAAGAGAAGAAGTGCTAGTGATACTTCCAGAACCTTTAGAGCAACTTTAAGGCTTGTAAATACATAGAACAAATATTTAAAAAAAGAAATTGACTCGATACTATTTCTTTTCACTTTCAAAATATAAAGAACAAAATAAAGAGAAACCTTGCAAGTTTAACAGACCAGGAAGTGGCTTCTCTTTTGATAGCAACTGGGACCCACTGGCCCTCGGGGGCACGCGCCCCCGGCCAGACTGCCTGCCGGCTGCCCAGGCACCCAAGACGGGAAGGGGCTGAGCCGAGAAGAAGGTGGCTGCTCTGTGGGGGGAGTGCTTGCCGCAGCCTCGAGCTTCCGATTTCTGTGCTGGCTAACGGCAAAGGGGTCCCGCCCTGCACGTTCCACCCTTGCTGATCTGCAGAGTGAGCAAAGAGAAGGTAGATGTGCCCGGGGTGCTCAGAGGCATCCCTTTTGGCCGTGTGTTGATCTGTTACTGCTTTCTCCCTCGTCCCCCCAAGGAAAATACTGCTCTGTGCCTGCCTTTATTCCTCCCCCTCCCCAGAATGGAGCCTACCGAGTGCAGTCTCCGTTTGTGTCCGGCTGCTCAGCCTGCTTAAGCAGGGGGTGCCGGCAGTGCCTCCCGGGACATCTTGATGAGCCACGGCAAGATGGTCGCGTGCACAGGGCGGCCCGGCCTGAGCGGATCCCACCTCTGTCCCGTGCCAAAGGTCAAGAAGCACTCACAAGACGACCCCTCTGCTCCACGGTGACCCATCCGGAAGTTTCCGGCAGCGCCTCCTCCGGAAATTGGACGCTCGGGCCTTGCGGTTCCAAGCGAACAGTGCAAAGAGTGCAGCTCGGGTTATGTCATCTTGTTGTGTCCACGCCTGATGAGCAAGAGCTGGAAGTGGGGTGGGGAGGGGAGTGTGTCCTGGGCAGCCTTGCCCGGGGGGACGTGGGATGAGTCTGGCTGAGAGGAGGGGCCATTGGGCTGGGCAGCTGCTGAGGGGCTTCTCCGCTGCTGCTGCACCCTGCTATGGTTTTTAACCCGCTTCCTTTAAGTTGCTCCTTCCTGATGCCCTCCTGTTGCAGAAGTGTGAAGAAGCCTTAGGTAATTTATTCAGAAATGGGGAATTATTTCCAGTGTTTTGCACCGGAAGGCAGAAAAGGTGTCTTTCTCCCAAAGCACATCACCGGCCACAGGCGCATTGCTGGCATCCTCGGAGGCGCAGGCCGCTGCTGCGCTCTGAGCAGCCACGGCTGCCCCCCTTCCGACAGCTCTTGCTCCAAGAAGGTTGCTGACCGAGGTGTCCGTGCAGCGGCGGTGGGGGTTCTCATGGCCAAGTCCACAGAGGTAAGTAAGCAGGCCAGCTCTTCTTCCTTCCAGAGGAAACTGTTGAATCTGTTAGCAGCCTTCCTTTTAATAATTCCTGTTTTATTGCTCATATATTATATAATACAGAATAGCATCAAAATATCTGATATGTAGCAATACCAAATACCGCTCAGTGATCAGATTTTAACATCAAAGAATCACAAGTTTAACACAACATTAGAAATTCGAACGGTATCTTTTTTTTAGTCCAAAACTGACCTGAAGTCATTCCCAGGAAAGAAAAGGGATTAAAATGGAGCCTGGTTTCCAGTTCCAGGGGATTCCCAAAGACCCTATTTTTCTACGAAAAATAATTGCTGCTCTGGAACTCCGAGCTGGTTGGTCTGTCTAATGCTAGTGGTGAGCCGCAGGCCCCAAGACTCCAGTCCCTCCTGGGTAAAGGTGGGCTGCCCACCCTGATTAACTGCCTTGCCACTCACTGTTTCGATACCCTCAAGATATCCATAACCTGGCCCTGAGGAAATTCACCGCCCGAGATTAAGTGGAGCTCGGTGCACACTGAAAACCAGTGTCTTGCCTTCCTTGGATGAATTCAAAGAGCGCTCGGTGGTCGCTCCCCCAGAAGGCCTGCTCCGCAGCCTGTGCGCAAACGTTGCTACCTTCAGCTGGCCTTAAGTGCCATCTGGGCCACATGCTCCTTCAAGATCGGCTTGCTGTGCATGCCTTTGTGCTTGTTGGTTTGATCACCCAAATCTACTCCCACAGAACATGTTACTCCTTCTGGGGAGTGTGGACCTTGCACCGCCCCCAAAATGTGCTTGTCCTAAAGGAATCCAACTATTCTGGGTCTGTGTGTCATTAAAAATCCCTGAAAATCGGGCTTTCCTCCCTTGATGGTCATTGAGTCATGCTTGAATGTGACTGCAGTACTGCATTTAACTTTTTATTCCTGTTTATACACGTTCCACTCAACTAAAAAGGGTTCCCTCTTTATCACTGGAAAGCACGCCACGTGGCTTAAGCTGTCCCATTATGAGCTTCGAAGTACAATCACAAAGTATCTCTTTCACTCTTCTACAGTTTGCGTATCTGACCGAAAATAATAATTTTGTTGGTGTTGAATATGGCAGAAAATGACTGTTGCAAATGCCATGTAGGTTCTGATCACGCTACCGCGTTGCTGCCTCTAGCCATGAAAAGTTTTAGCCTTCACCAAAGTTGCTAGAAATAGGTGCGGTATTAACCCATGCAGGTTATACCAGTTTGAAAGGGAGAAAATGGGTACTTTCTTCTGTGTTGCACTGCTTGCTGAGTTAACAGAGTTCCCATGGTCTCTCTCTGCATCACACATGCAGCCTTTGTGCCAGTTGCAGGAAACTGACATTCCCCGGTATATGGACGAGCTGGACTTTGAAAGAAGTACTGCACCGTGTGAAGAGATGCCCTTGCTTCGAGTCCTGCTTGCTGCATAGCACCCGTTTCCCATCGCTCGGTTTGCGAAGCACTCCATTTCTCCGCAGGTTTGCCTCTGCCTCTGGGGCATTGTGCTTTAGTTCTAAACTCGGACCCAGTGGCCAGAGTTCTATGTGCTCAGGCTGGGTTGCGCTTCTTTAGAAGCCCTCGGCCTCGTCCGTCTCTGGTGCTGGGTGATCTGCCCCCAGAAGAAGTTGCTTGAAAGCCCATGGCCAAAGTGCAGCCCAGAAATCCCGATGGTGGAGCCACAGCTTTGCACACGGAAGGCCCCAGCTTCCCTTCCCTGCCTGAAGCTGCAGAGAGCTGCCGCCGCCAGTCAGAACACAGTGCTGTGCAGGACGGACCAAGTACTGGCCAAATCCATTTAGGTCTTTCCGTGCAATTTGCCTTCTCGGTTGAGGCTTGCAAGCCCCTTGGCGGTGAGTATCGCACTTCTGGCTGCGCCAGAGTGCCGAGCAAGCTGGCCAAAGCTGCTGCCTCGTAGAGAGACAGGCATGTTGTCGTCTGAGCAGTTGCTGGAGTGGTGTCTGCTGGCACTTCCGAGAGGCTCTTCCAGGGTTCCCAGAGTCAGTGCAGGCTGTACACTGGCTTCTCTCCGTACGTTCTTCAGCTCCAAAGAACCCACTGGAGCAAAGTACCCAGTGTCGCAGGAGAAAGCGTTTGCATGAAACCACCCAACAGTTGCAGGAGTGACCTGTAGTGACTATTGTGCGAGAACACGGTTCGCCACAATCATGTTCTGATGTTTGTAGGTAATGGACAGAAATTTGCAGGAGCTCTAGAAGTGGCAGAGAGAATTTGAATCGAATCAGCATCACTGTACTTGGCTCAGGCGTTTTGCTTTCTGACAGAGGCTTCTTCCAGAGGGCAGAAGACCATGACCTTGGCGTGTTGCTTGAGCCAGTAACGCTGTTGATGCTGGTGTAAGTTTGCATTTCCAGACTTGGGTTTAGGAAGGGAAGGGGCAGTGGGACTCCCTGGGCTTACAGCCCTCCCCCACGTACACAGGCCCGCCATCCAGAGTCAGGATGGGTAATAGGAGGGACCTCTGCCGGCGCATGAGGCTAAGGAGCTGGCTACCCCGGGGTGGAGTGATGCCACCAACCTGCAGTGAGGTGCTTTTACCGCGCTGAGTCAAAGGCACGCAATCCACCAGTATATAGATCCTAATACATGCAGAGATGGTGCGTGAATACGGCCCGTAACTCTCAGCGTGGCCTACGGAGTGTGGCGAGCTGGAAAAGGCCGGAGCGGGAGCCCCCCTTTCCCATGGACACAGGACTGCGCCCCCGCATTGTCACACGCCCGCACTTGGACACGTGTGTGCGCGTGCACACATCACACGAACACACACATGATGCGGGCAGCACGCTCAGGGGCGCCGGCGGCGCTTGTGCTCCGGGCGGCGGCTGGGCGGCCTCGACCAGGACGCTGCCTGCGCGCCCGAGGCCCCCCAGCTCCGCGGCCTACGGCGCAGCGGCCACGGGTCGAGCGACACCTCCCGGCGGCCCCCGCGGCAGTCCCGCCCCGCACTTCCGATCACGCAGGCGCAGCCCGTCGCCCGGGGTGAAGCGTCCTTCGCAGGCTGCCTCTCCGCGGCCGAGATGCGCATGCGCGCGCGCCGGTCGACTGTTTACTTCCGGGGCCCCGCCCCAGTGCTCGTCGCGGCGCCGAGGAGAGCGGCTCGGCGGCTGCGCGCGGCCGTGGCGCCGATTGGTCGCTCGGCCGAGGCACGTGAGCGGGGCCACGCCCTGGCGTTCGGAAGACGCCTGCGGCCGCTCATTGGCGTTGCCCGCGCCGGGCCCGCCCCTTCCTGTGCTCCGCCGAGCCTCTGCTTCGCCTCCGTTGCCGCCGCCGCCGCCATTGTCGGAGGGGCCTTTCCCGCCGCCGCCGCCTTGGGCCTCTTGCGAGAAGGGGGCAGAGGGAGGACGCGCCGAGGCGGTGAGTGACAGGCGGGCGGGGCCTGCTGAGGGAGGGGTCAAAGGTCACGCCAGGGGGCGTGGCCGGCTGATGGCCCAGAGAGCTCATTTGCATAACGTCGCAACGGGCTGTTTACATAACATGCGGCGGCGGCGAGGGGGGGGCGATGCTCCCGCCGCGCCGCTCAGGCCGCCCGCCCGGGCCTGAGGGACGGGCTCCGTGCGCCCCCGGCCTGGGATGCGCTGCCCTCGCCAGCACCGCCCGCCCGCGGTCGCCGCCGCCGCCGCCGCCGCCATGGAGCCGCGCCGGGAGAAACGCATCGCGCCACAAAAGCGGCGCAGCCCGCGCGCCCTTTCCCGGGCCCACTGGTGGGGAGGTCGAACTACTTCCGGGGCGGCGCCCTCCGGGTGTTCTGCACTTCCACCGCCACCCGTCCCCGCCCGCCGTGGGCCGGGGCGATGGGCGGCGGCGGCGGGGCGCGTGCAGCGCTGCCGTGAGCGCAGGCAGGGTCCAGCGCGGCGCGTGTTTGGAGAAAACACGTGCGGGGGCGTGCGCGTGAAGGACTGCCCTCCGTGAGGACTTGCGCCCCTGTCCCCAGAGGAGCTGTCCCGCCGCTCCCGTTGAGGCAGCGGAAGGATCTCGCGGGCGGGTGCGGGCGAGCGGAGCAGCCTTGCAACCTCCCCGCTGGCCATGTTGGCTGGGAGATGCTGCGGTTTTGAAGGTCTTCTGTTAGGCACATCTGGAACCGTGTCCTCCTTGTGCTGAGACAGGAGCTTTTCTTTAGTACAATAAACACAGGGATGTATCTGCAATCTCTGATAGACATAGGTGTACATCTGGAAATTATGATTGAAATAATATCGTGGAGCACCTTGGCCCAGTGAGGGGGCAGTGGCCAGGCGGCCTCCCACTTAGCCAGCTGTCCAGGTACTGCTACTGGGAATGGGCGATAAATAGCATGGCTCTTGATCTTTAGACTGGAACTGGACAGCACGGGTCTCCAGAGAAAGGATGCTGTCAAGCAGAGGACCGTCCCCTGTGCAAGAGGCCACTCTGGAAGACACGAAAGGCAGCTGGCTGGGGACGCCTGTGTCAGGGTGCAGAAGGGCACACCTGCAGCCCCTCTGCCCTCTCCTTTATGCACTTGCTCGCATCACATTTCTGTGGCATCATCGGTGAGGAGCTGTGCAGTGTTCAGCGAGAGAAGATGCGCTGCTTATAGCTGCCGGCAGGGAGAACAGCTGCGTGGTCCCACACGGGAACGGGAATGCTGCGCCGCGTGGGGAGGGGAAAGTGCCCCGTTTAGTGGCACCTGTTCAGGCTACTCCCCAGAATGGCCAAGTGCCACCGGGCTGGGGGCCAAAGGCTAAGGAAAGGGGGCCTTGTGACAGGGGCAACCGCAGTTTGGGGAACCTGTGTCCCCTTGGTGGAACGGCTGTGCTTCTGGAGCACCTTCTTCCAGCCGGCCCCGTGGTGCTGGAGCTGATGGCTGAAGGAGCCAGGGGCTGCCCTGCATTGCTAGTTGAGCCACCAAAGGCCCGGGCAGACCCACTGGGGTCCTTCTTGGTATGAGTTTGTTGTGAGCCCCCCTTCTCCTGACTTCATGGAAGCGTGGCTGATTCGACCCTCAAGCAGCACCGCTTCCTTAATGTTTGGCCAACAGGTTCCGTCAGTTGCAGGAGATTTCTCTTGCTTGGGATTCAGCAGGGAGGATGAAGAGGCAAAGCTCTTGGGGACATCAGCGGTCTCAGAGGAATGTTGTCCTTGTGGGTCATTTCAAGCCAGTGTAGGTTTGGCCACAGGAAGAAGCGCAATGTGTGCGCTTTTGGGTCACACAGCACTCTTCCTCAGGATAAATGGTTCCCCTGAGCTTGACAGCTCCAGAGGCTGCAGCATGCCTTAAGTCACCCAGATCTCTCCTGTTCTCTCGTTGCAGAAATAAGCATCCAGGCAGTTTGCAAACTAATCCTGTCCATTGGGAGGTAATTCCAAACAGACTTTATACCTTTACTTGAGTAGAGCAGCTGGCTGGAACGATCCCCCTTCCACCCACCCGCTGCTATCATTCCTGAGGGCTGGAACAGCTGAACTGCTCTGCCAAGAGCCCCCTGCCTCCTCCCTCCCCCCGCTTCCTCCCTCCCCGGAGCGCCTAACATTGCCCCAAGGCCTTTGTGCCTGAAGCCAGAAGAACGTAGGCCCACCCGTGCCCCAGTATTTCAAAAATCCTCTCCCAGCCGTTTCTGATCGAACTGCTACTCTTGGAGGCGAGGAGGTCATGAGGCTGCCCCTTGGCCCAGCCCGTCACCCGGGGCCTGTTCCGGCTCCAGCCGGTCAGGCTCCCACCTCGCTCCCCAGAAGTAGGAAGCTGGAGAAAGGAGCCGCTTTCCCCGCTTCCTTTGGCCCAGTCAGAGCCAGCCTCTGCTGTCCTGCTAGCCAGAGGGAGTTGTCTTTCCTGGGGCGCCAGAGTGTCATGTTTCATCTGCTTTGAGACAGGCGAGGCAGGGAGCTGAAGCGGCAAAGAGGCAGGCCTGCTCCCCCCCCAGCCCCGCACGGGCTCCACAGGTCCTGCCTGCAGCGGTGCCCTGCTCCTGAGGGGCTCCTCGCAGGGGCTGGATGATGGGGCACGCCTGGGCAGTTCGCGATGCCGGGCAGGAAGATGCAGCGGCGGAGGGGGCCCAGCAAGGCGGGGCGTTCAGAGCAGGTGGACTGCGCCAAGGGGAAGAGCCGTGGAGCGGCCGTCGCCACCTTGGCCCCCCGGCCTGTGGCTGCAGAGCTGCCTGGTCGCACGGCGGTTTCGAACGCTCCGTGCCGAGTGGGGGGCCGGGGGCCTGGAGCGGGGCTCGCGTGTGGCCGCCGGGCTGCAGCCTTCCCACTGCGTGCCGGCAGGTCACATTCTGCAGGAAGCACCGGGCCCGGCGGCTCTGCTCGCCACTTCGGCAAGTCCGGCCCGGCACCGCTGAGGCGCGCCGGAGGGCGAGGCCCGCGGGCTGGGGAAGGGGGCCCCGGGCCTCGGGCTGCTGTGAAGTGCCTCGCGCCCCTCCCTCCTGCAGCAGGGCGAGGCGGCTTCCTGCGGAGGCCTCCGGGCCGCCTGTGCGGCTTGTCTGCCCGCACCCAGGACGCTCTCCCAGCACCTCGCCGCGACCGGTTGGTTTGTGACGTTCTCTCTTCTCCTCCTCCTTTTACCTCCATGGTGTATAGGAACATAGAAGTAGTCGAAGCGTTTACTTTTTAAGTTTTGTTTTGTTCCTGTTTGCCTTCTTCACACCAGGTCTCTTTGCACTTCAGGTTGTCTCTGTTAGGAAGTCCTCTCCCCTTGAGGGTAGACCCGGGGGCTCCAAAGTGGTCCCCTCACGTTGGGGCTAGACATTAATTTAAATGGCGACCGATCTGCCCGAAGCGGATTCCGCAGACTGTGAGGCGCTTCCACTCTTAACGGGAGCGCCCCCGGACAAGTTGAGTGAGGTAGGGGCGGACCCTTCTCCGCGCTTGCCCCCGGACTGGCCCCTCAGGGCTGCTCTTCTCTTCCTCCCCTGCTTCTCGGACTCTCCGCTGGGGCTGCACCCGCCCCGCCCCAGCCACCTCCCCCCCTCCTGGCTACCAGACGCATCGGCTCTCCCTCCCCGCGGCCCCCCGGGACTTTCTGCTCCTGTCGCTCTGGACTGAGGCCATCCCGGCCTGTGGCTCTGCTCACTGCCGGGGAAAGCAGGAAGTTGGAAACGGCCGCCCACCATCACCTCTGCCTTTGGATGGGCTGGCGCTGGAAGGACCGGATGGTGGGAGGACGGAGGAGGCCGCGGCCCGTTCCTGCTCCGGCGGCGCTGAGGCCGTGGGCCAGCCTCCCCCGCCCCCCGCCCCGGCCGCCGTGTGACACCGGTGTCCGCTTCCCTCCCAGACAGCTGAAGACGGCGCCATGCCGATCCGCCGGGCTGTGACCGCCTCCGCTCGCGAAACACCCCCTAAGAGCAAGGCCGCGGCGAGTGGCGGGGGACAGCCAGGTAAGGGCCCGCGGGGGCCCCCGGGGGCTGTGAGCAGGCCCAGCCTTGTCCGGCAGCTGCTCCGGGAGACATCCGTAGGGCCTTCCCGACTGGGGCCGGGGGAGGCAGGCGGCGCACGCAGCTGCTCGGGACCAGGGTGCCTGAAGGAAGGCCCCTCTGGACCACTGGCCTGCTCCCCGGAGGCCACCGAGTGGGCCGGCAGCTTTCTGCGAGCGCAGCAGGCGTGCCGGCCCAGGGAGTTGCTCCCCCTCCTGTCCTGACGCACCGTAGCACTTTCGGGGTGAATGGCGGGGCCTTCCCAGTCGCGGTGCCCGGGGGTCCCTGGCCTCTCTTGCAGCAAAGGGGCTTAACGTGCAATTGTCCCCAGAGCAGATCCCTCGGTGGCCCTGCCTCTCCTGGGGCCCCGGTTCCGCCCAGGTGCCGGGCGCTAAGAGCAGCCTGGAGGTTGCCATTGCACCTGCTCGCAGCAGGCCGAGGCAGAAGCTGCGGGGGGGCGTGTGGGGCGTTGCTTTTGACCCTGCGGGGCCAGCTTTGGACGGGGTTTTGTGTCCGCAGGGCACTTTGCCCGTGTCCTCTGCAAAACACTTTGCTTTCTCGCAAGCAAATAAGCAAACCCTGCTGGCCGCTGTTTGCATTCCGCCCTCTTTGCCCCCTCAGAGCCCGATGCGAGTTCGGAAGAATCCGCCTCCACCGTAGAGGAGCAGGAAAACGAGACCCCCCCGGCCACGTCCAGTGAGACGGAGCCGCCAAAGGGGCCCGAGGCCGAAGAGAAGGCGGAAGTGAAGCCCGCGGAGGAGGCCAAGCCAGAGTAAGGGGTGGGGGAAGCAACGGTGCGAGGCAGTGCCCCAAGGGGTGTGGGGGTGGAAGTGGCAAAGGAAGCACTGGGGGAGCCCCTCCAGGGGTCCTGGGCGCAGCAGGTACGCTGTGCTGGGCCCTGGCTGGGAGACCCCAGAGGATGCCGGCCTGATTTCTGGGCGTTTCTGCTTCTCATGCAGCGAGAAGGATCCCGCGAAGGAGAAGGAGAAGAAGGTCAAGAAAACCATCCCCACCTGGGCCACCCTTTCGGCCAGCCAGCTGGCCCGGGCGCAGAAGCAGACGCAGATGGCGGCCTCCTCCCGCCCCAAGATGGATGCCATCCTGGTGGAGGCCATCAAGGTAAGGCGTGGGGCTCGCCCTTCCCTACCAGCAGGGGAGCCCTAGTGTCGGCGCTGGCCCCCGCGGGGCCCTTCTGGAGCACTGCACGCTCGCGGACCCAGGAGAGGGGCCCTGCCCTGCCCTGCCCTGCCCTCCCTGTGCCTGTGGCCTTCAGTGGCCCTGCTGCTCTTGCAGGCCTGCTACCAGAAGGGGGGGGCCTCCGTTGTCGCCATCCGGAAGTACATCATCAGCAGGTACCCTTCACTGGAGCTGGAGCGGAGGGGCTACCTCTTGAAGCAGGCCCTGAAGCGGGAGCTGGAGCGGGGAGCCATCCGGCAGGTGAGCGGGTGTCTGGGGGGCAGGGAGGAGCAGGTGGGGGCCTTGGTGGGGCTCAAGCCCAAGACGGGAGCGTTCCGGGGTCGCTGCCACAAGCGCTTTCTGTGGGCCGGGGGCCTCTTTCTCTGACCTGGCCAGGCCCCCAAACGGGGACCCTCGAGGCAGAGCTCCATGGGAGTGCTGGGCAGCTGGACGAGGCCTTAGCCCACCCCGGCGCCCGGCTGCAAGGCTGCCCCCGGGAGAAGGGAAGCCCTGCCCACGCCCCCCTCTCCGCCCTGGGGAAGAGCTGGCCAGGACCTGAGGAGGGCCCCTCTTTCTGTCTCACCAGGTGAAAGGGAAAGGTGCTTCCGGGAGTTTCGTTGTGGCCCCAAACTCAGGGAAAATGGCCCCCAAGTCCAGGGACCGGAAGGTAAGCCTGATGGGGCGCAGCTCACCGCCCAGCCGGGGGCTTTCGGAGGCACCCGGCAAGTGAGCCACTTTCTGCACCCATGGCTGGCCCGGGAGAAAACACTGGCGGAGGGAGCAGGCCCCGTGCCGCGTTTGCCTGCCTGCCTCTGCCCGGCAGAGCGGGGAGGGGCACCCGCCTCTCAGAACGGCCCCCGGGGCTCTTTTGCAGAGGAGCGCGTGGTCCTCCGGCCCGGAGCAGCAGGTGAAGCTGGAGGACGTGCTCCCGCTGGCCTTCACCCGCCTGTGCGAGCCCAAGGAGGCCTCCTACAGCCTGATCAAGAGATATGTCGCCCAGTATTACCCCAAGCTGAAGGTGGACGTCAGGTAGGGGGGGTGGCAGGGGGGCAGCCCAGCGCTGGGGCGCTGCTCACGCAGCCTCCGTTCATGGCGGGTGGCTTCCGACATGGTACTTCCGCACCCTATGCGGGTGGGCTGCCTCTGGGCATGTGCAGAGGCCTGTGCTTGTGGCCAGAGCAGGCGGCACCCCTGTAAGCAGAGCATGCATCCGTGTTTTCCAAGGCAGGGTGGCAAGCCCTTCCCACTACAGGAAAAGCCCCGTTTCAGAGACCCCGAGGGGGGACCCCATTCCCAGGCGGGCAAGGAGCCTCCGCACTCCTGCGGCGTCTCCCTGAGGCTGGCCTCCTGCCAGCGGCTCATTCAGAAGAAAGGGGTCCCGGCCCCCCCGGCCCTCCCCAAAGGGCCCATCAGGCTCTTCTGGGGTTGCTCTGCGCGACTGCCGGTCTCGGCCTCCTTCAGGCCCTTGCACTCAGCCTGAGGGAGGTTCCTGCCCAAACCCAGCCCTTCGGCCTCCCGGGACGACCCCCAGAGCCACCCAGAAAAGTCCCTGCAGGGTCGTGTCGCTCCAGGGCCCAAGGAGGGACCCTCCGTCCCGTCCCGCACCATGCCAGTGGGTTTCTCCTCCCAGTCCTTGGCAGGCTGCCGGGTGCCGCTCCGCGAGTCGGCCCTCGACGGAGGGCTCACCTGGCTGCTTCTCTCCCGCAGGCCCCAGTTGCTGAAGAATGCCCTGCAGAGGGCGGTGGAGAAGGGCCAGCTGGAGCAGATCACCGGCAAAGGGGCCTCGGGAACATTCCAGGTGGGTGGGGACCCCCTTCCTCGCCCCCTTCATGGGCCCTCCCGCCGTTGCCCCAGTGGGACCAGGGGACTTGGGACCGGGGTGCCGAGCCTGGGCTGGAGGGCCTCCCCTCCTCTCGCCTGATGCGCTTGGTCACTTTTCTCAAACAGCTGAAGAAATCTGGGGAGAAGCCCCTGCGAGGGGGCAGCCTCATGGAAGACGCCATCCTTTCGGCCATCGCGGCCATGAACGAGCCCAAGACCTGCTCCACCACTGCTCTGAAGAAATATGTCCTGGAGAAGCACCCCGGGACGAGCGCCAGCCTGCAGGGTAGGGTGCGTGCCCGGCAGCCCCCAGGGCTGCCTCTTCCCTCCCTCCCGCTCACTTGTGGCAGTCGCTCTGAGCAGCAAGCCCTGCTGCCTCAAGGCAGGCGGGGGCTGCCTGGCCCGGGGCACCGGCCCTGCCCTGGCGGGGAGGATGGTGCCGGGGGATGTTGAAGCCCGGATCCCCAGGAGGGGCCCAGGGTGGGGACTGTTCTGGGCAGGACCCCGCCATCCTCCTCCCCAGCCTCTGTGAGTTTTAAATTAGCCCGATGATGCTTTCAGTGGCCTTGTTAAGAAAATTGCATGCCTGCCCCGCTCACACACGTCCAGCGGAGGCACCTGCCCACGAGCGTAATCGAGCCTCGGGGAGAATGAAGGCCTTCCCGGAAGCACTCCGCCCCGCTGCCCATGCAGCTTCCTTCGTGGGCGGCCCGGAGCCCGTCCCTCACTGTGTGGCGGCGGCGGCGGCGGCAGCCTGGGCTTGGGTGTGCGGCTGTCACGCTCCGGGGAGCAGGTGGACGAGGACCCGGAGAGGCTGCCGGGGGCCCGCTTCAGCACGCGCCCGACGCAGCGCAGCGCAGGCTGCCCCCAGGGCCGGGCCCAGGGCGCTGCTCTTGCTGCCGCGGCTGGGGAGCAGCGGTCCGCAAGCCTGGGCGGGAGCCGAGAGTTGTGGCGGAAGAGAGGCCGCTGGGCCTCCCCGAGCCGCGCCACAAGAGGCCACAGGGACGGCCCGCTGAAGCCTGCGCTCTCCTCGCCCCACAGTCCACCTGCTGAAGAGGACCCTGCAGAAGTGCGAGAAGTACGGCTGGATGGAGCAGATCTCCGGCAAAGGCTTCAGCGGCACCTACCAGCTGCGCTTCCCCTACTACCCGAGGTACCCTGGTCTGGGGCTGGGCGAACCCTCGCCCCACCGCTGGAGGGGCGCCGCCGCCGGCAGGGCCTGCTCCGCCAGCACCCTGGGCCCGGCGATCGCCCGGCCCCGCTGCCTGAACCCCCCGTGGCCAACACGGCCGGGACCCGAGCCTCCCCCCGCATGGCTGCCCGGGCCCGGTGCCCCCCCCAGCCACTCAGCCGCTCCCATCCCACCCCTGCAGCCCCGGCGTTCTCTTCCCCGAGAAGCAGAAAGAGGAGGAGGAGGAGGAAGATGAGGACGAAGACGAGGAAGATGAGGATGAAGACGAGGAGGAGGAGGAGGAAGAGCCTCCTCCCAAGAAAAGGTACGGCTGGGGCTGCCGTGGGCTGAGGGATGGGCCTTCCCGTGGCTGGTGGCCTCACCGCCGGTCCCGTTCGGCGCCGGCGTGTGCTGGGAGGGGCTGGGCTGCCCCGCTTGATGGGGGCCGGGCAAGGGCACCGCCGGCCTGGGGCTCCCAGTCAGCTCAGCAGCCCAGCCCGGCTGCCTCCTGCGCCAGGACGGGCCTCGCCGAGGGGTGGGTGTGCGCACACACAAGCCTCTTCTGAGTTCTTCCGCTCCCCTTGGTAGGATGCAAAAGCGGCCCCCGCCGAAGGCCCGGAACAGGGCCCCCCCCGCTGGTGAAGCGACGGGAGGCCAAGCCCCGGCCCCGCAAGGCCCCTCTGGCGCATCGTGGGAAAGCCAGGCCCCCTCCCCGGGTCAAGGCCCGTGCCAAGAAGGCCAAGCCCGCCCCCCCCCATGCGGCCATCAGGAGCCTTTCCGGCAACAGCCCAGCCCCCAAGAAGCCGGTCGCGAGTGCCAAGAAGGACGTGAAGCCCCCCGCCAAGAAGAGCAAGCCCACCATGCGCAAGTCCCTGCGGGCAAAGAAGTGATCCCCGGGCGGGCGGCCGGCCGGCCCTGCCTCTTCGGAACACGCGCGCTTGTTTTATAAGTACAACACACCTTTGTATCTTAGTTCAGATGCCTGGACCTGCCGCCGCCGCCGCCGCCTCCCCCCCCCCCGCCCTTTTTTCTCCTCTGAGCAGTGGGGAAACCAGGAGACCACAGTGAGCCCTGCAGCCCAAGCCTTGCGGGCCGCTCCGGGGCCTGTCCCCGTGCCCCCCCGCTGCCCCCCCCCTGCCCCCACCAAGGCCAGTTGCCCGTAACATAGGACTGTCCCGTTCTTTTTTAAAAAAGGTAATCTGTACAGGGTGCATCTTGGCTTTGGATTCTGGCTTTTAGAACTAGTTGCAAAGAAGATTTTTATATTTTTAGAATGTGGAAGGCAGACTGCTCTTGGAGCGCCCCACCCCGTGGGATGCCTGGCGGGGCTTGGGCAGGCCACAGCTCCCGGGCACTGGCCGCCTTGGAGAAGAGCGAGCGCCAGGTGGCCTGGAGTTGGCAGCCCCCTGTCCCCGGCGCCATCCTCTGTATCTTAGTGTGCTCTGTTGGTTTAGCTTAGCTGTCCCCTGCGGTGTCTTTTTGCCCCTGAAGCCCAAGCTTACATAAAAGTCTCCTTGAATCCAACTTTTGGAACTCGCTCTTTTAAAAGGAAAGAAATGAAAAGAACTTGAGTTTTTGTCACTTGTGTGCCCCCCTTAAAAACAACAACACATGAAATTTCAGAGAAAGGTCTGATTGCTAACGTAGAGCTATTAAGAAACATGCTGTTTGCTAAAATAAAAAATAGACTCCGGCAGCTGTCTTGGGTGTAGTATTTTGCTAGCGCCCTGAAAGGGCTACAGCCTTGGCTTGGCCGGAACGGGACGCGAGTCCGAAAGACCAGAGCAGGGACGGTCTGCCCGGGGGGAGGCAAAAGGAGGCCGGCCCTCCTCGGACTGCTGAATGCAGGCCCCGAGAGCCGTTCCGCCGCTGCCTTCAGCCCTGATGATGCAGCCAGCTCCTTGGCCCTTTGAGCCTGCTTGTTTCGCCTACCTCCCCGTCTTTGCAGCTTCCGGCACATTCTGACTTAGTGGCTGCGTTTGAGCTTTATTTTTTGCTCAAGCACCATCTGTCCCCCTTCTTCCTCGGTGCTGTTCTCAGCCTAAATCTGGTGCTTTGATTCTTTCCACGGAAGTGGCTGCTTTCCAGTCTTTTCCTGACTAAACTGCCCTTTCTGTTGGGAGGAAAAATCCTTAATTGGAGGACTCGGTGCTCCTGTCGAGTTCGGCACACATGTGCTATTTTTCCTGGGCCGCGTTGGCATCCCTCTTCCCTCTTGCAAGGAGCCAGGCTGCACGCGCGATCCGGCTCATTTCCATTTTGTCTTCACAACAGGCCTGTGAGGTGGACCGGGAGCCAGCCACTGGCTGGAAGCCCCCCTTTCCCCTGAAAGGGCACGTGTGGCTAGAGCTTGGGTCCTGGCCCAGCACGGACCACTGCGCTTCTCTGGCATTGAGTGCAAGGGACTAAATGCCTGGTGTGTGGCCCTTGGGAGGATGGTGAGCAGGAGTGAAGCGAAGGCCTGAAGAACGGGGGGGGGGGC